TAAATGGAAAATTATTTCTACAAAGATTACAGAGCCAAATAATGGAAGAGCCTTAAAGCTTATTCTGTGAATTTCTTCTAGTTAAGAATCCAGTAGAAATGCCACCCAAAAGTGGTTCACACAGGAGGAGGTGATGTTAGCTGATGACAAAGAGGAAGTGATTGGTTCTGAGACACTGGGACATCACCAGGCCAGCAAGGCAAAGGGTACCAGAGGCCTTGCTTGTATTTACTGACCACATGTTTAACATCCTAGAGAGATGCAAGAAACAAAACTTAACTCTTGCATTGTCTATACCGCAATGTCGAATCTGCCGCAAGATAAATTATCCCATAAGTATGTTAATAAAACATAACAGGAGCCTTATAAATATAGTTGTAACACAGTCATATCATATTTAGCCACTAAAAAAGTTATCCTAAATACATATTGCATCAGGGTTTATTTGAGCTCTGCCGGCGTTGATGCGGATGGAGATGCTTCTGGGCCTGCAATGCAAAGTAAATAAATGAGTGACGATGACAACATTTTTCTACAAATTCAAAAATTTAACTTATTAATTTTAAATAAAACATATTTTTCTGCCTATTTATAAAAATTACTCCTGAAGTCTACATAAAAGTTGAGTGTATGATCCTACCTCCTAGCACAAATCATATATTGGAAACACGAGACTGCAACTTCTGCACTGGTAGGCAAGAAGAGAATGCCCCGTAACAGACATTTAAATTCATGAGTCCTGCCTGTGCATGTTGAAAAAGTTCTGTTGACATAAACACGCTAAACAGAACTAAACAGTGTGAGTATGGCCTCAGGAGGAAGTAGACAGGAGGGGAGCAACTCAGGCGAAGTCAGTCTGCCTCTGAGTGGCATCTGTCCCTGCACCTATGTTTTATGCACTTCCTTAATGTTGGCCCCTTTCAAAGTACAATACTGTACCAGTTACCTAAAGGCCACTTTCTGGCATGCCAAAACATCTAGGATAGCTGCAAAAAATTGCAATAAAAAAATAATAATAATCGTGTGTCTTGTGGAGGGAAAGAAACAAAGCCTTGACTAGATTAGTTTTCAGAAAGTTACAGCAACAGGCTCTAAGTGGAAAGGTTTCCAGTCAGAAGGAAAAAGACACAATCTGCAAAAGTTAAAACCACAATGGACAGCGGTAGAAACAGGAAACAGAAGAGGTAAGGAAATAGGAGAAAGAACAGGGCGATCAGCATGAGAGGGGAGGGAGCGTGGCTGTCACCAGCACCAGCACCAGCCTTGGGATCTGAGATGCTGAGGGTCAGAGCGGGGATTTCGGTAGTGACACCTTTAGGTAGTGACACCCCCTCCTCAGCTACCCAGAAACAGGCGGAGCAGATCCTTCAGTCCACGTGGCCAGTCTTCCAAGTTACAGGAGATTTACTGCTTATTTAGATTTTCATTAATTTTCAATGGCTAAAATGTTTCTCTGAAACTAAGCAGGTCTTTCTGCTAATGCAGAGGCATAGATTTCATAACATGTGCAATGATTTAGTTCCTGATGGAAAGTTCATAAACTTATACTAATGCCAAATGATAGTTCCTGGATTAGACAGATCATATATTTTGTCAGTGATGAAGTAAATTCTACTACAGACCATGCAGAAAATAATATCTAAATCCCTAACATATCTTATGGAGGTGACCCTCTGTACCCACTGCATTTGTATTTTTAAACCAAGGTCCTAAAGAAGAACAATCTAAGCCCAAAGTAAGCAGAAGGAAAGAAATAGCAAAGATCAGACAGGAGTAAATGAAATAAAGAATAACAAAAATAGAAAAGATCAACAAATCTGCAAGTTTTTTTAAAAAGATAAAATTGACAAACCTTTAGGCAGACTAAGAAAAAAAGAGAGAAGACAGAAATAAATAAAATGAGACATTACAACTGATACTTCAGAAATTCAAAGGATCATTAGAGACTATTAACAATGAAATAAATTGGACAACCTGGAAGAAATGAATAAATTCCTAGAAACATACAACTTACCAAGCCTGAATCATGAAGAAATAGAAAATTTGAACAGTCCAAAAATGAGTAAGGAAATTGAATCAGTATAAAAAACTCTCCCTTCACAGAAAAGCCCAGGACATGATGGCTTCCCTGGTGAATTCTATCAAACATTTAAGGAAGAACTAATACCAATCCTTCTCAAACTGCTCCAAAAAACTGAAGAGTAGGGAACACTTCCAAACTCATTTTGTGAAGCCAGACATTTTATATTACCCTGATACCAAGGCCAGACAAGGATGCTACAAGAAAAGAAAAGTACAGGCCAATTTCTCTGATAAACATAATGCAGAATCTGCAATAAAATACTAGCAAACTGAATTCAACAGCACACTAAAAGGATCATAAACCATGATCATGTGGAATTTATCCCTGGGATGCAAGGATGGTTCAACATATGCAAATCAATAAATATGATACACCATATTAACACACAAAGGACAAAAACCATATGATCATCTCAGTAGATTCAGAGAAAGCACTTGACAAAATTCAACATCCTTTCGTGATAAAAAAAAAAAAACTCAATAAATTAGGTATAGAATGAATGTACTTCAACACAATAAAGGCCACATATGACAAGCCCACAACTAACATCATATTCAATAAAAAGCTGAAAGCTTTTCTTCTAAGATCAGAAAAAAGACAAGGGTGCCCACTATCACCACTTCTATTTGATATAATACTGGAAGTCCTAATCAGAGCAATTAGACAAGAAAAAGAAATAATAATCATTCCAATTAAAAAGGCAAAAGTCTTTGGGAGGCTGATGCAGGAGGATTGCTTGAGGCCAGGAGTTTGAGACTAGCCTGAGCAAGAGCGAGATCCTGTATCTACAAAAAACAGAAAAATTTTCTGGACATCATGGAGCATGCCTATAGTACAAGCTACTCAGGAGACTGAGGCAGGAGGATCACTTGAGTCCAGGAGTTTGAGGTTACAGTGAGCTATGATGATGCCACTGCACTCTATCCTGGCAACAGAGCAAGATCTTGTCTCAAAAAAAAAAAAAAAAAAAAAAAAAAAGGAAGAAGTGAAATCTCTGTTTGGTGATGACATGATCTTATATATAGAAAACCCTAAAGACTCCACCAAAAACCTGTTATAACTAATAAGCAAATACAGTAAAGTTTCAGGATATAAAATCAACATACAAAAATCAGTAGCATGCTATACACTAACAACAAATTATCCAAAATAGAAATTAAGAAAACAATCCATTCTAAATAGCATTAAAAAAAAATACTTAGGAGTAAATTTAGCCAAGGAAGTGAAAGATCTGTACACTGAAAACTCTAAAACGTTGATTAAAGAAATCAAAGAAGACACAAATAGATGGAAAGATAACCCACATACATGGATCAGAAGACTATTGTTAAAATGTCCACGCTACCCAAAGCAATCTACAGATTTAATACAATCTCTATCAAAATTCCAATGATATTTTTCACAGAAATAGAAAAGAAATCCTAAAATTTTTATGGAGCTACAAAAGACCCTGAATAGCCAAAGCAATCTTGAGCAAACAGAACAAAGTCAGAGGCATCACACTACCCAATTTCAAAATATATTTCAAAGCTAGAGTAATCAAAACAGCATAGTACTACCATAAAAACAAAAACAGATCAATGCACAGAGCTTAGAAATAAACCCATGCATTACTGGTCAATTAACCTTCAAAAAAGTTGCCAAGAACACACAATGGCAGAAAGGACAATCTCTTTAATAAATGGTGCTGAGAAAACTGGATATCCACACGCAGAAGAATAAAATCAGATCTTCATCTCATACCATACATAAAAATCAACTCAAAATACATTAAAGACTTAAAATACCTGAAACTGTAAAATACTATGGGTTGAGTATCTCTTATTTGAAATACTTGGGACCAAAAGTGTTTTGAATTTCATATTTTTTTGAACATCAGATATTTGCATACTTACCAGCTGAGCATCCCAAATACGAAAACCTGAAATCCGAAATGCTCCAATGAGCATTTCTTTTGAGTGTCATGTTGGCGGTCAGAAGATTTTGGAATTTTGAGCATTAGGGATTTTACATTTTTGGATTTAGGATGCTCAACCTGTAGAAAAAATGTAGGGGAAAAGCTCCACAACATTGGTCTAGGCAATTGTTGTTTTGGGATAAAACACCAAAAGTACAGGCAACAAAAGCAAAAATAAATAAGTGAAACCACATCAAACTAAAAAGCTTCTGCACAGCAAAAGAAATGACCAATAAAATGAAAATACAATCCACAGAATAGGAGAAAATATTTGGAAACCATATATCTGATAAAGGGTTAATATTTAAAATATGCAAGGAATTCAAACAACTCAATAGCAAGAAAACAAATAACCCAATTTAAAAAATGGGCAAAAGACTTGAATAGACATTTCTCAAAGAAGACATACAAGTGGCCAATAGGTATATGAAAACATGCTCCACATCACTAATCACCAGGGAAATGCAAACGAAAACCACAATGAGATATCACCTCGCACCTGACCAAATGGCCATTATCAAAAAGATAAAAGATAAATGTTGCTGAGGATGTGGAGAAAAGGGAAACTTTGTACACCATAGGCAGAGTTTCCCTAAAAAACTAAAAACAAAATCACCCTGTGATCCAGCAATGCCACTACTTGGTATACAGCCGATGGAAATGCAATCAGCATGCTGAAGAGGTGTCTGCTCTTCCATGTTCACGGCAGCGCTATTCACAACAGTCGAGACAGGGAATCAACCTAAGTGTCCACCAACAGACAAATGAGTAATTCTCACACAGTGGAATCCTATTCAACACACAGAAGTCTTTTACGACAACACAGATGAACCTGGAGAACATTATTCTAAGTAAGATAAGCCTGGAACAGAAAGATAAATAACTGTATTACCTCACTCATGTGGAATCTAAAACAGTTGAACTCATAGAATGACCGTTACCAGGGGCTGGGGGTGGGGGAGTGGTTGACATGGAAGGCGGGATGTTGGTCAAAGGGTACAAAGTTTCACTGAGGCACGAGGAATAAGTTTTAAGGATCTATTGCACAGCGGGGTGACTACGGTTAATAATAATGTATTATGTATTTCAAAATTGCTAAAAGAGTAGATTTTAAATGTTCTCGCCACAAAAAGAGGATAAGTATACGAGGTGATGAATATTCTAATTAGCTTGAGTCAAACATTCCACAATGCATGCATATATCACATTGTACCCCATAATTTTACATAATTATTATTTGTCAATTAAAAATAAAAAGTAAACTAAAAAATAAACTCAAGCGCACTCATGGCTTTTTTATAATACTTCTCTTTTCTATTACAACTCACATGGCAAGTAATAAACTGTATATCTATGAATTAAGCTACATTTTTTCTTGTATAATGAGCATAAAAGAATAAAACAATTTTGCTATAATGGAAGCCATCCCTTTTTTGTTGTCCCTAAATCATGTTTCTAGAACTCTGATTTTTATAAAAGATTCCACGGCACAGGCTTTTGCAGTGAGAATACGTGCAGTTTGGAGGACATTGCAGGCTGCTGAGAGGCACAGTCTCAGATCGCAGGACTACGTCCATTAATTTTTTTGTGTAAGACTCTTTTTGTATTTCGATGCAGGTCAGTTTCTCCATAAATACTCACTTGGAGAAGACTCTGTAATAAAGTACATTCATTATTTAATTAATGAAACGGACCAAGCATTAAAAGAAGTCATAATCACTTAAAGATTTAGTAAAAAGTCTATATTACTTAAAACAACACAAGTCATAAAAGACTGTTGACATTATAAAGTTCAAAGGGCACTTTTTAACCAAATTGGATGTGAACTTTTCCCCATCTCATCCACCAGGATGACAGAGAGAGCTGGCCTGTAAGTGGCAGATTTCGCTCAACAAATGCTGCCAGGAGCTAGTGCAGAAGTGCAAGCGGAGATCTCACTTACAAAAAGTCACAGCAAACACTTCAAATGCCCGAAGAGACGTAACACGCCTTCTTTCCCCTTTTGGAAGAAATGAAGCCTGAGTCGTAAAAATAAGCTGCCCAGAGGCAAATGATCAATAATTAACAGTGCTATGGAAACTACATATAATACTCAATGGGCTTTTTTTTTTTGTCCACAAAATGAGACAAATGCTCTCTGTGACTGTTAAAAAACTAATAAAGTATTTTGAATATCTAATTACAGAGAAAGATCTAAATTATTCAAAGCTTAAGAAATGCTGCTAATGGAGTAATTGTAAGTTTGAATTTTGACTTCTTTTTAAAGAATAGAAAGCTTTTTATGATGGGATCTCAAGGAGGACCAGCTGCTTATGCAAAAGTCCAAGCGTTGTAGGGTCAGAATCTTTTGGATCCAGGGAGCTAAAACTGATATTATTTGGTATATTATTTATTGGTATATCAAATTGACTATCAACATTTTTGACAAATAAAGGAATATGTAAAGCCCCAGAAGCCATGACTTTTGCTATTCATCTGAATAAAGAGGAAAAAGCAAAACATATATTATTATCATGTTTATCTATAACCTTAGTACTTCTGTGGGTTTTTAAGGTGGTTCTTACAGCCCTCATGTCTCATTATGAGATACATCAGGAGATGAGAATGTGAGCTGCTGCCATCGCAATTACCCAAACCCTCAAGAAAGCTGGATGCTGCGGCAGCCCACCTTGAGCGCTCTCAGAGCCTTTGGGAGCCTCTGCGTCTTGGATTTTCTCTGCATCCTGGGGCCCTTCAGGGTCTCGTGTGAACGGAGATGACGTAGATGTCCTGGATGTCTTTGGGGTCCTCTTGTCTGAGTCAGCTCGCTGCTGCTGTAACCACTCATCCTTATAACCATTGCTAATAAGTTTGGAGAAGTTTGTTGGTGAACTGGTTTTCTGGCCAGGCCTCAAAAAGAGAAAAAGTAATGTTAAACTTAGGTACAAAGATTAATGATAAACCAGAAACGGTATTCGGCAAACAGACTCGTAAGTTAGGTGTTACCATTCCTTACAACATAACGGGGAGCGAGCACTTGCTCTCTCTCTGTTTCTCCTTCTCCCTCTCTCTCTGTCTCTCTTTCTCCTTCTCTCTCTCTCTGTTTCTCTTTCCATTTTTAAGCATAAAGAAGTGCATTTCAAAGCATCCCTTGTACATGAGTGGGAGCATGTTTAGTTGAGTTGGCAAATCTTTCTTTGCTATAGCCAATTAAAAATTAGTCCTAATTCTAGCATTTCACAGGGAAGCCTTCTTCAGAAAACACAAGAACTACCTTTTTATAAAAGAAATGATTACTTTCTTAATTGGTTCCTCTTTGTCCTTAGCACAGTTTGCCTGCTCCTATTTCGGTCCTATACACAGCTTCGTCACCTGTCTTTTGTCACTGTTAGCTTAGCCTTTCACACCTGTGCACCTTCACAGATCTTTTCACAACCACATTGAAGAGTGACAGGGTAGTTTGACACATGGAGGCAGCATGAGCTTTTCAGTCAAGCAGGTAATGTATTACCTGTTCCCTCTTACTTGAAAATCACTTTGTTGTCAAGGCGATTCCCAATGGCAGGCACTCACGTGCTCTCTCACTCTCTCTCTCATGTCTGTGTATTTCCCCCCATCTCTCAGTCTAAGGTTGGTGTTCTCATGGCATTTATCACAATGCAATGTAACTAATTGTTCTTTCCCCATTGGATAAGATGTTTGAAGCATCAGTGAGGTAATTAATGACATTTAAACTAGCACTAACCTAGGATTCCAAGAAAGTAAGGAGACACCCAAGGCCTCAGGGATTTCACATTCCAGCTGGAAGATCAACAAATGCCTAATGTATCCTCTGGCTGAATACAAAGATGGAGAGTTTGCAAGGCACGGACATCTGGGTTCAGGCCTTGGTGACATAGAAAACATCAGGACCGAGCAGCACATATGTGCAAGGACAAGCGGTCCCTGAGAACTGTGGCAAGGGGTGGCATTGCACAGGTGGTCCCAGGCAAGCACAGCCTGATGGAGAAGTAGCCATCCACGCTGGGAACCTGCAGCAAATACCACCCGGAAGGGGAGACGTGCTCGATGGGGCAAAATGGAGCATTAGGAAGGAACGAAAACCGCAGTGAGGAGGCGCGTGGCTGAGGCTGGGCCAGGCTCTGTGGACTGGGAATATGCAGGTGCTGTCATTGTCACAGTCATCTCTCAGATGAAAGACAGAAGACCAAACCCAAACCTATTCCAGACAGAGCTCGAGTCGCTCGAGCACTTACATTGGAGGGAAGGAGAGTCTACTTCCTTCAGGGTCTTTAGGGCCAAGTGGGGTCTCCACTTTGCTTGGATACTTTGAGTTGATGGCTGGTAGCCTCACCTGTGCCAGGAGACACAAAACCCTGAGTTAGTAAGAGGTATTCAGCGCTCAGACACTAGAGGAGAAGAAAATTCACTAAGAGTAGCAAAGATACAAAACCTGTGGGACTGAACTTTTGGTGTGGTAATTATTTTACTGGCCAACAGTCATAATAAAATATAATTCAACAATAATCCCATTCAATAAAATGGTTATGTCAGTAAGTCAAAAGCAGCTGCTGCATTCAAGTAAAGATGTCATCTACCCAGGAGGAAAAACAATGGACAATTAACAATGGGAAATATGAGAGGGCCTGGCCCTGAAGCTGAAGCCACGTACAGGGTGCTAAGAAACAGACCAGACCTTAAACCAGTCCATTTGCACTGATCGTGCAAACCACCCAACACCAGATGCACAGCTGGACGCTGAGGATGTCTTGAAGAAGAAACAAGTGGCCCATTGCAGCCGACTGATGTTCCACTTGGTATGCAACTCAAGTCCCCCAAATAAACTGAGGGGTTTCTCTTCAAACCAGGACGCTGCAGCAAGGCCTGGGAATCTGTCATAATGGTTCACGACACCAACTTCTGCCCACACTGAGACACAGCTGATCTTGTCACTAGTCGAAATGATCACCTGTGCTCACTCTTGTTCTCAGCATTGAACACGACTGCTCTTTTTAATATGAATTTCATCATTTCACTCACAAACCCCACTGCCCCAAGAGCCGAGACTAATTTCAGACCTAGCACTGGTGCCCACAGGGCAACGCCGAGTCCTCCGTGGTGCTGGTGGCCCGACTGCTGCTCCCTCCAGCACCACGGAAAGAGGATGGGCAGGGCTTCCAATCAAGACAGCACGACAGCATTTCTACCACCTACAGATAGCTCGCGAGTTTCTCAGTTGCTCTTTTAAAACATAAATCCCCTAGGAAGGCTCTACTTTACAGGCCAGTCACTCCTCTGTGGTCGAATACACCACTGGGAGTTTGTAAAGAAGAAGAGAATTCATCGCCTCTTTCTTTGTTATCAATAAAGAGGCTAAGAAGGGTGGTTCATGCCTGTAAGGCTGAGGCCAGAGGATCGCCTGAGCCCAAGAGTTCGAGACTAGTCAGGGCAACATAGCAAGACCCCATGTCTATAAAAAATTTTTTAAAAAATTCGTTGGTAGTGGTGGTGCATGTCTGTCATCCCAGCTGCTCGGGAGGCTGAGGCAAAAGGATCACTTGAGCCCTGGAGTTCAAGGCTGCAGTGAGCTATGAGGATGCCACTGCACTCCAGCCTGGGCAACAGAGTGAGACTCTGTCTCTTAAATAAATAAAGAGTATTCCAGGGAAATTTTAACTTAAATACTTAAGTAAATGGAAATATTCAGAAACAAGATAATAAGTAAAGATAAAATCTCCTTTGTACATGTGCCAGATAAGAAGTGCTATGTCAATTTTCCCCTAGATAGCCATTAATCAGTTAAAAATCATTTAGTAAAATGTAATCTTACCTCTTTTTAAGCCAATATTCATAAAAAGAAAAAGAAAGTTAATAGTATGGTGGCTGCTTGCCTTTTAGCAAATCCAAACTTAAAATACAGAACATGTGGCCAATGTCATGGGCAACATGAGACACACCAGCAGCTAACATCAGGTCACTTAATTAATTATTCGGGGGGCCACGGAAGCACAGCAGACACAGATGCCATCTATTTATGGGCTCCTGTCACCTTTTTTTTCTCCTTTTCAAGTTCCTCAGCCTCTCTTTGCCAAACCGTTTTCATGTCGAAGTTGAAGGGCCCTCTTCTGGATTCAAAGCCACCGTTGGCGTGATCAGGGTTAAATTCTTCATAAACCATGTAATCTGGCATGGAGATCGCAGGCACTCTGCAGGAACAGACAGACTGTTACAGCCTGGAGCTTAGCACCCTTTCCTCTCCCTCCCTCCTTCCCTGCCTCCCTTCTCCCTTGCTCCTCCCCCTCTCTTCCTTCCTCTCTCCTTCTCTCTCTTTCCCCTCTGTCTCTTTCCTTTATTGCCTCTTTTTCTCTAGCCCCTCTCCTTCCCTCTCTCTTTGTCTCTGTCTCTCTTTACATAATAAGCAACACCCCTCTTCCTTGAAACCACAGGCGGCCCTTCCCTCCTGCCCCTGCTGAATAAATACACCAACCCTTGTCCAGGGCCTGCCTCCCAGGATCATGAGGTCAACTCCAAAATCACAGGGTCTCAACAGTAGTAAAATGAGATATACTAAAATATGGATTTATACATCAGATATATTATAAAATAATTATTTCTATTACTTTGAAATAGCTAACCACCCTTAAACATTTACCATTTAACATGATCATTTAAACTAATAACCTCCTTCTGTTGGATGGTCATTTTTAATGTTGATATTTAAATTCCAACCAGTCTTCCTACACAAGCAATGCATACAGGGGGATTGCCCACAAGAGCTGCAATGACTTAGCCTTTAGACTCCTGAAGGTACCATCTGTACCACAATGAGGTTTTAATGGGGAAGCACACACTGGATTCAAGCTGGAAATGGCAGCACACACCTCCCACATGCAGTGTTTGAGGGGCTGCAGGGACGACCCCACATCCTGCCCCTGTCTGCACTTGCTCATCAAGGAGCACCGGGGCACAGGGCTCCAGGACGCTGAGAAGAGGCCCCAGGGCAGAGGAGGCATCTGGGGCGAGGGCCAAGGAGTGGGGTCCCGGGCATCACAGCAGGAAAGCATCCAAAGGAGGCAGCTTGCAGGCCTCGGAGATAGCAGGTGGAGGGCCAGGGGCCACAACCACGGAGGCTGGGAACACAGGCTCGAGAGGTGGCCACAGACACCCAGTAAGAGGAGAAGCCACAGGTGCAGCAGAGCTGCTAGGGGAGCACAGGTGTGAGAAGGGACTGGGAGGAGCAAGCGGCACCTCCCCCAGCCCTCCCATTTCTAAGATTGTCTGTGGGCAGGAAAAAGCCACAGAGATAAGCCGACATTGAAATTAACAAAGGGAGGGACAATTCCAGAAAATGTTAAGCAGTGCTAAGTTGTAGCTCCCAGGTTCCCAGATTTTCAGTGAAGGAAAGATCTCTCCTGCACCTCTCATCCCCCTCTCCAGTGTCCTCTGACTGTCCCAGGACCTGGAGCAGGTGGTCTGCAAGCCAGAGGAAGATTGGGTTCCAGGAGAGAGGAAGACACTGAAGACCCCAGAAATAGGTCATCACTAGAGGACTTGGAGGATTCGTAATAACATAAAGCGTAGGAGAAGACAGCAAACAGACAGGGGCCCCATCACAGGGGAAGGGAAACGTAGAAAGGAGGGAGGGAAAAATCCACACGGCGGGTGGGTACAGGAGGCAGGGCACGCCCAGGGCAGGGCTCAGCTATGTGAAGTCCACCACCAACCCCAGAATTAACCATTGGCTCAGGGCGCCCAGCTAGAGCAGCAGCCTCCCTCGCTACAGGAAGGCACGGGGCCGCTAAGGGTCCAGCAGCCACAGGAGCCCTGGGCACCCTTTGGCCGGCGAGCTCAGGTAACGTGGGTGAGGCCACAGGGTCAAGAGGTGCTCAGGTGCTCAAGCAGCATCCGCCTGCATAACTGGAGTTCCACCCCCGCCTCACGCTGCCAGCCCTGCTCTCTTCCTGCAGCCACAGGCAGGCAGCACACAAGTGTGCCCAAGGCCCCTGCCTCTCTTCTAAGGTTCCCTCTTGCCCTGCTTGTCCCCTTTCTTTACCAGATAATGCTAACATCAGGGGTGAGCACGTCAGTACAGAGCATTCATTTTAAAAAGCAGGGGGAACCAGAATTCTGAAGACAAAAACCGCATTGTGATCATAGGCAGCATGTTCAAATAACACTGGATAACAGCTTGAAAACACATCTATGGCGGGCCTGTTTTCCAAGCCAAAAAATGGGGAAGTTGTTCAAAATGACTTCTCAAATCCAAGAGAAGTGGTTCTGATGATAAAGCTTGCATGCCCACAAACAGGAATTTCTTAGACATTTCAAATATTACAGGGGATGGTGGCTCCCTAACTCTGTAATCATCATAGAAATTTAGGATTTCCTACATTTCTAGCTATGTCAGTGCCTTTCACCTTTAAGGAGAATGCCTCAGGACTGGCTGCTGTTTTAGGGCAGGCAGACGTGGTCAGGTCCTGCTCTACAGAGAACACAAACTGGAGGCAATTTACCAAGATGGAGCCCAAGGACACATGACTCTAAGACGCATAAATGCTGTAGGTTTCTAGAACTCTGGGTTTTCCGACAACTTATGCTAGCTACATAACCCGAAGAGCTGGCTGTTGTAAAATAGTATCTGGAATTATAATATCACACGCTTAGTATCAGTATTAGATATTTGTATTTTTACAGTTAAAATTGGGCTATTTTTTTGCCTATAAAGATAAACAAAAATGTGGGTGTGTCAAGATACTCACTCCCGCTGGTCGGCCGTCGGTGGCTTGCTGTGGTGGATATACCAATCCGGCATGGAGTAGGCAACCGGGGAGCCTTTCCTGGTCGCGGGGGCAAAGTGCATCAACAAATCTCAAAGAGAAATGAAATGGCTGTGAGTGGTCCCACCATCCCCATGCAGGCAAGCGGCATTACAAGCGTAGCTGCACCATCTCCCTGGGGTTGGCTCTGGGCTCTGGGGGCTAATAGAGCATCTCTGGTCCTCACCTGCCTCTGCACAGGCTGACAGGGGAGAGTCCTGCTTGGTGCTCAGGGAGGGACATCCCTCATGCACACCCACCCCCACCTTGCTCTTTCTCTGTGGATCTGGACAAAGCCCCTGGTCCTGAGCTGCGTCTATGCAGGCCAGCCTTCACCAGCTCCTGGAGGGGCTTATCCCTCCATTCCTCACGTCTCCAGGGTCTGTACTTACTGGGTCCCCCACCCTCAGCTATCACCCCCCAACACCATTCTCATAGCACAGGACAGTGTGAATGTCCTTCTCTGCCACTGTGGGGCTGTCCCTGACCCCCCACCCCCTATCCAGCCATTTCTAAGAGAAGCTGCCCCCTCCAAGTTTCCAAGATGGGAAGGGGAGCAGAGGTCCCTGCAAGTCTCCTCATGGATTTATCAGTCATCTTGGAGCCAACCCTGAGAATCAGGCCCCTTCTCAGAGACTTAGCCCAGCTCCTGACTCACCCACTTGCTTCTAGCTCACATCCCTGCCCCCCCTGATGACACAAGGCAGGGAGTGGGAAGAACTGGTTTTCTTGATCCTAAGGACAGCAAAATCAGGATAAGAACGCCTGTGACAACAGCAGACAACTTTTACTGATTTTTCACTATCAGTAAGAAATGTTTTACTTTCTATTTTTTGACTTTTAAAAAACTTTTTATTGTTAAATATTTCAGACTTACAGAAAAGTTGCATGAATAGCATGAATTCCCCTATTCCCTTCACCTACCTGGACTACCTAAATGTTACTGCACTTCATCACACTTGCTTTATCATTCTCTGTCCCTGTCTCTCTCTCATTATCATTATCATGTCACTTGTTTTCAGAATCACTGGGCATCTTGTGGCAGTCACAATGCCCTTTCATCCCTCCATAACTCAGGATGTTTCCAAAAGATAGTCCTTACATAATCACAGCACGATGATCAAAACCAGGAAATTGGTACTGATGCAATACTTTCATCTAATTTACAGACTTTATTCAGATGTTGCCACTAATTGTCCCACTAATATTCTTTTAACCAACGGCAGGGGGCAGAGAATCTAAGAAGAAATGTCTAGGTCCTGTTCTATGTGCTTCACACCTAGTCAGCCAAACAGTCTGGCACAGGCTTTTTAATACGACAGGGAAGGTGCTGCCATTTCATTTCCCGTTTTCCTTGTGACAATCCTCATAGGGTTAATGGCAGCCAGAGGGGGAAAAGTGAGTGTCGCTCCATGTCAGCGGCCCCAAAGGCTGGTTCTGAGACATTGTAGATAGGGCCTCTTAATCCTCTGATCAGTGATTTCTATTGAACTTAAACGCCTTAGTTTTTAGCATAGTTAAGCAGTGCTTTCTCAATTAAATCACATATAAAAGTTTGATCCTCATCTACATCACCACCGAAACTTATCTGTGGGCTTCATCATTTAAAACATTTTCATACAAAGGACAAAGGGCAATGAGAATTAACAACAGGAGGCCGGGCGCAGTGGCTCATGCCTGTGATCTTAGCACTCTGGGAGGCCGAGGCGGGAGGATTGTTTGAGCTCAGGAGTTCGAGACCAGCCTGAGCAAGAGCAAGACCCCGTCTCTACTAAAAATAGAAAGAAATTAATTGGACAACTAAAAATATATAGAAAAAATTAGCCGGGCACGGTGGCGCATGCCTGTAGTCCCAGCTACTTGGGAGGCTGAGGCAGGAGGATCGCTTGAGCCCAGGAGTTTGAGGTTGCTGTGAGCTAGGATGATGCCACGGCACTCTATCCGGGGCAACACAGTGAGATTCTGTCTCAAAAAAAAAAAACAAAACAGGAAACAAAAACTTTTCATGAATTAGTCAGAGACTGGTTATAGCAAGCAAAGACATAAGAGTACACGGCCAGTTCTCTGCTGAGGCAGGCAACTTCCTGAGGTTCTCTTTGCAGTAAGCAAATAAAACGGGGGTGGGGGAAAGAGGGTTGAATTGTTGCAAAGGCATCACTGGGAAAAAATATCCTACACAGCCAATTCTGTGAATTCAGCCTATTCCATCTAACATCATAAAAATGAGCTCATCCCTGAAGATTATATATATCCCAAGTTCTACTTAATTAACCTAAATTTCCAAAGGCCTGGCCTGGACAGTGGCTCAGGCTTATAATCTAGCACTTTGGGAGGCTGAGGTGGGAGGATCACTTGAGGCCAGGAGTTCAAGATCAGCCTGAACAACAGCAAGACCTCATCTCTAAAAATAAAAATAAAAATAAAAAATTAGCCAGACGTGGTGGCTCATGCCTGTAGTCCCACCCACTCTGGGAGGCCGAGGTGGGAGGATCATTTGAGGCCAGGAGTTCAAGATCAGCCTGAACAACAGCAAGACCTCATCTCTAAAAATAAAAATAAAAATAAAAAATTAGCCAGACGTGGTGGCTCATGCCTGTAGTCCCACCCACTCTGGAGGCTGAGGCAGGAGGATCGCCTAGGCCCAAGAGTTTTAGGTTGCAGTGAGCTATGAGGACGCCACTGCACTCTGTTGCCACCTAGGCAACAGAGCAAGACACTGTCTCAAGAAAAAAAAATTATCATCGTCATCATCGTCATCTAAAGGCCTTAAGCAAAACTTGTAGATTTTCTTGTACTATTTTTCTATGGAAGAAATTAGGAACAAACGCCCGCTCCCTGCTCCCAAAGCCGCGCAGGGGCTTACCGGGCCTGCCGCCTTGTTTCGCGAGCTTCATGTACTCGGAGTCTGTTTCTTTTATCCAGTATCTCCGAGTCCCAAGAGCGCTGCCGTCATGTGATTCTGCCCAGTGGCTGAGACCCGGGATCTGGGACGCTGGCGGGACATCCACGGCCTTCTCGGAGCGCTTCCCGGGGTGGTGGTAGTACCAATCTAGAGGGCGGGCAGCGCGGTCAGCGCGGCGGCTCGGGGACGCCGGGCAGGGGGCCCTGTCCTCCAGAGTCTGGGAGATGCCTTGGTGCGGAGGACACCTCGGGGCCACGCAGGCCTCGGCGCGCGCCGGCAAGGAAGGCACTGGCCGCACCGCAGCACCAGCGAAGAAGCCTGACGGCAGTCCCGCCACCGGTATGCCAGCGACGCCCACAGAAGGGAAGCACCTTCCACGGCCCTGCTGGTCCCGCCCCGGGCCCGCCCTGAGGGCTGAGCCTCCCTCATCGCTTTTTAGCTTCCCAGACAGATATCCAGGCCCGGTTGTGTCTCTGTCTCTCTCTCTTAACTCTCCATAAAGTTAAGACTTACCTGTATTTCTGGTTATGTTGGGGAATGTACGTTCCTGAAAAATCTCAAATCACTCAACACATTATGAGTAAGTCTGTGGCATATGTGGCCAAATGTTGACCAACATTTGATAAACTCAGTATGTTTCAAAAAAAAAAAAAAAAACGGAAATATGAATTCTGTCCCAGAAGTAACAGCCTGTGTGAACACGTTTTGCAACTGTACCAGGGCAGGAAGCAGCAGGGCCCGGCGCTGTCACAGGGGCTGTCTGCTGCCCAACTGGGTTAGAAGCCCACCCAGGCCTCCCTCCCCCACTGCTCAGGCCAGCACTTGGCTTCTCAGAGCCGCAGCCCACTCCACACAGGGCCGGCTACTGGCTTTGCTGGTGCCTGAGGCCAAAGTGGGCAGTGAAAATGAAAGTGGCCAAAGATCTACATGGTTACTCAAAAGGGGGAGGGGAAAAGGAACTAGCTTTGCCAGAGTGACCACGAATTGTGGAAAAGCTTCTCAGACCAGAGATTCTCAGGGTAACTAGGTTCTGCTTCCCTGGGAAAGATCAAATGGAAACAGGGTGAATATAGATTGTGTGACTTAGAGTTCCCATGAAGTGGAAGCCAGAAGCAATAGCATGGAGGAAGGACAAAAGAGGAGACTGAAGGAGAGCTTGCTCTCTGTCCTTCCTCCCCACCAGCGATTTGAGGCCAATGCAGACAGGGGCCTGATGAAGCAATGAGTCTCCCTGAGGCCTTGACCTGAGGACATCCAATTCAGACCCTGTAGGCTCCCTGGAGACAGTCAGTCATACCGGGGAGCTTCTGGAAGAGTCAGAGGTGTTGGCAAAATCCCAGTGACCTGGTGCTATTAGTGTTTATTTATCACCCCACAGAGAGAAGAGTTCTGGGGGCATTCAGATTATGGGTACTCTAGGTAACTCTCTGAATCAGAAATTGATTAACCAGATGCCCAAATATAAGTAAAAATGTCACAGCTCATTGAAAACTTTGGAAACAAAATCCAGGAAAAATTTAAAATACAAAAGATTCAATTAATGAAGCACACATGACTGGGTGTATATAATAGCACTTATCAGAATGTACTGTCAAAGATTCATGATGTTCAGAGTCTAAGACAATACCCTATTCTTGGTAGTTATAATAGCTAATTTTATGTGTCAGCCTGGCTGGGCCACAATATCCAGATGTTAGTCAAGCATCATTCTAGCTATTTCTGTGAAGGTATTTTTTAGATGAGAAGAACATTTAAATCAGTGGACTTTGAGTAAAGTAGATTGCCCTCCAAAATGTGAGTGGGCCTCATCCAATCAGTTGAAAGTCTTAAGAGAAAGACTGAGGTCCCTGCCGAAAGAGGGAATTCTGCTTCCAGACTGCCTTCTGACATGAGCTGCAACATCATCTCTTCTCTGGGTCTCCAGCCTGCTGGCCTTCCCTGCAAATTTGGAACTTGCCAGCCTCCACAATAATGGGAGCCAATTCCTTAAAATAAATCTACCTATATATAGGTAGATAGATATCCTGTTGGTTACAATGCTCTGGAGAATCCTGACTAATATGGTAATTGCATAGGAAAACAGTACCAAATAAATCAATTCACAGAAACACACAGAAACCATAAGTACCATCCCCTAAAGCTACAAACTTAGGTATCCAATTTTTACTTAGAACTAAAGCTGGGTTCACCACATAAAAATGGATGGTATTTAATATAGAAAATCTTTTAAATATCTAAAGGACATTAAATAGCTGAATCAACACTATACAGTTTTGAAAAGGAAAGAAAAAACATCGGGAAAGGTTTAAAGAATTGCACAAGTGATCACACAGAATCAATTTAAGAATTAAGAATAAGAGTTTAGAGGCTTCATAATCTGATCATATTCAGCTAAAATATTTTCTGTTTTAGAGGGAAGGCATTTGATTCTTGCTTTATTTTTCCTTTCTGTGTTTTGATTACTAATTAATCCACAGAGAACAGTGAATCTTCAACCTTCTCATTACTGGAAACTTTGGACAGGCACTTAACTCCAATCTGGCTGGCCATTTATAAATGTGTACAAAGGAGGAACTCAGCAAGGGTTTGAATCAGTAAGAACCGTCTCACACTCACACACACACATGCACACACACACACACACACACACACACACACACACAGGGTTGAAGGGACAAAGAGTTATGTTTTAGCTTTTATCACTGAAAAACTGTTAGTATTTGTATGACACCAAATCAGTTACTATCCTATAGATTTTCTTTATATAGCCTTCCCTGCCTTATCATATGAGGGGTATTGGTACCCTTATTCTATCAGTGAGGAAACAGGGGCTATGAGAGACTGTGAGCTGAACCCAAGATCCCTCAGCTCTCCTGGTCTTTAAGACACAGGCAGCGTTTTATATACCCACATACCCACAGGGCGCAGGCTCTTGTCTTCTGCCCCAGCCTCAGAGAACAGGGATTAAAAGCATGGGCTGTGGAGCCACTTGTTAGGTGTGCGACTTATTCCAAATTCTATGTGCCTTGGTTTCCTCATCTATAAAATGGGGTAATGATACCTCATAGGATTCTTATGAGGTTATATATCCAGATGTATACCTGGATATATACATCTGGATACATATAACTAACACAGTTAGTTAGTTAGTGTATTTAAAGCACTTAGCACAGTGCCTAGTACTTGTTAGTGTTTACTAATGTTCATACAGACGAGACTACTAACCAAGACACTAAGAAGTCACATAAAGACACCACAGATCATGGTGGGAGAAGGGGAACCTGCCAGTCCCCCTGTGCTACCCCTTGGCCAAGTCCCCACTGTGGCTACAGTGTCACCAGTAATGGCCAGAGTCAGAGCTCTGGGCTAGAGGCATATTTAGAGTATGTGAAAGGGCCACGCTTTGTTTCACTTCTGAGCATGTGTGAGCAGCTCCTGTAGGCCTCCCAGTTCCAGTTTAGCTCTCCCAGCTGGGCCCCTGGACTCCCTTCTCTACCCTCTTTCTCCAGCCCTTCACAAGGCGGAGAGGAGCAAAAACAACAGCAAAACCAGAAGACAGCAACTCAAGATTTCCTCCTTCCCTTCTCCTCCACTTCATACCTTGGTCCATAAGAAGACACGAACCTCCACTGAATTCCCTTTCCTGTATCCAGCCACTTAAAGCAGTAAATACATTTAATTGGCTTGGGTCTAAATTAGGAGCAAAAACCAGAGAGTCAGTGACATACCTGAGATGCAGCTGGCAAAGAAAGTTCCTAAGTCCACATTCAGGACAACCGAGTTGTAAAGGATTAAACTATGACAAAGAAATTTCAAAGGGATCCTATTGCTCCAAACGACTGAGGCAACAGTAGGTAGCCTTGATTCTCTCTAGTTGAAAATAAAGAAAAAAAGACTTCCTCCCCCCACCCCGGCCCCCACCTATCTCTCTTTAAGCCTAGACTTGACACTGGGCACGGGAGCAGTTTGCAGCTTTCTTCTAGAGTATAACTTGTGAGTTTTACCCATTTGCTCCCCCATGCCCCCATCCACACTATCCCCGACTCACACCGCTCCCCCCCCACACGGGATGGTGAGTCCACAGCCCACCCAGAGAGCTAAGTGAACGCACTCGGCTCTTTCTGGCCTAAACGCGCTGGGGGCGCACTCACCGCAGGGAGCGTAGCGGTGGAAGGCGGCGCCCTGCCGTTCCTTGCTCGTGTTCCTCATGGTCCGCGCTACGAGCGCTCGGGAAGAGACAGACGCTGCCGGACCTAGTGTTCACAGGTGAAATGGGCGCTGCCGGTCTGGACCCGCTGCCGGTCTGGACCCGCTGCCGGAGCTGCAGCTGCAGAAGCAAAGTCCGCGATCCGGCTCGGTCTGTCCGCCTCCACCTGACACGTCTGCAGGCACTCACGACCTCCAAGGGCTTGCACGTCCACGGAGGGTTCTCTGCAGGGGCATGTCCACGCAACAGAAGGGAGCACATCACGCCGGTATACAGCAGGAACACATCCATACTGGGTATACAGCAGGGGCACGCTCACACAGGGTACACAGCAGGGGCACATTCGCGCCGGGTGGATACACAGCAGGGGCACATCCACGCCAGGAACACAGCAGGTGTATACAGAATATACAGCAGGTAATCAAGGGGCCGAGGCACTCGGCCCGCCTGGGGAGGTCCGGTCCTGGGGTCCAGCCGGTGCTCACCCCATCCAGACGGGCACTCGGTGGTCCCCTCCCGCCAGCCTCGGCGCGCACCTGCCCGCACGGTGAGTTCTGCACGGCAGGCCGCGGCCGGGGCCCCAGTGGGCACCCCCACGCCCCTCTCGCCTGCCCCGACTCACCAGCTCGCCGAGGGTGTCGGTGGGTGCAGCCCGCAGCGCCGGAGGTTGGAGTTGGTTCGCCGAAGGCGGGATGGGGCCAACCCCAAACTCCCAGCACAGCGTGGAACCACAACAACCCGCGTTGCCAGGGCAACGGCTGGGAGGCCAACCGGCGGGCGCGACGGGAGCGCCAGCAGCCAGTAGAGGCAGCCAGAGAAACTGCAGTCGGCCAATCAGGGCCGGGAGCAGAGCGCCGGCCCCTCTGGTCAACCGCCCGGAGCCGGGGGCGGGGCCAGGGCGCGGCCTCACTGCTGCTGGGCCGCGCGGGCTGGGGGCGTGGCCAGGCGCGGGTCTCCTCTTGCCGCCCGCACGGGAAACCCAGGTTACTGCAAAGCGGTCCAGAAAAACTAGCGACTTGCTTCACCACGTTTTCCAAGCAGCGATAGTCCCACCTTAAACAAAAAAAAGCACCAATATCTAAAAATATGATTTTACTAAGTAGATGCAGGAGTAATGATTCACTTAGTAAAGAAATGCTAAATTTTAGGCAGAAATTTGCTCATAAATCTCTCATGTATTTTACACATTAACTGCCTTGTGAGTTGTATTTAATTCACGCTAGTTTTGAGCCCGGGGCCTCGAGAGGCATGTGACGACTAGATACTTCCAAATTCAATAAATATGTCGTGAGTCACCTACAACTCATTTGGCGTGCGGTGTAAAAATTGATTCTAGCGCCTCGTGAGTTACATATAATTCACGCACAGAGAACAATAAAAAATAACAAATTTTTCATTAAATTAGAAAGGATCGTTTTGTTTGTGAAGTTTTTATTCTGTTTTCGTAATAAAACACTGTGGCTCCAGGGGAAAAATTTTTTTTTCTTCTGTGGCAGTCAATATGTTAATGCATTAAAAAAAGACTAATAGGTACTTGGGGAAATTCATCGAGTAGACATTTCTGCCAATTATGTATCAATAGTGAAATTATTATGTAAACATTCCTCCTTATATCTTATTTTTCGGGAATATTTCTGTTTTGTAAGTTCATAGACATTTTTAAAAAGCTCTTAACCATATTTCTACGGAATAGTGTTTAGATTTCCAAACACCTGGCTTAAATGCGGACTTTTGGCCTGCCTGGATTTAGAATCTACAGGAAAGACAATGATTATATTATTAATCGTGATTCACAAGAATAGAGATTATCTGTCTGGCATACGCTTGGTGAAGCCAATAGACAACAACAGCTATGGCATAGTTGAGTAGGAGACACTATTGTTATCCAGAAAGCTCCATACCACCCTGACCAAACAATGGAGATAATTAGCCAGTGTTAAAACTTTGTGAGAATTAGGAGAGGGATAGACTATTACAGAGAACATTCAAAAAATCCTGTTATTCCAATAGCTGAGACAACAGTAAGTAGCCTTGGTTTTCGGTTGCGGAAAAATTTTTTTAAAATCAAGCCTTTCTATAATGGTGGATATTTGACAACTTGAGCTAAACAAGAATTTGTTTTTGTTATACGAGCACAGCCTTAGAAATCTGAAAGAAGATAGGTAATATAGAAATTGGGTAAAGAGAAAATAATTTTTATGACAGAAATTAACCCTAAGTCTGTGATTTATCCAGCTCTAATATAATACTATGATGAATTCTAAGGAACTTCAGCTAGCCCAGTCATATATCAAGACTTCAGCTTGCAATGTCAAATGTTCATTGCACTGTATACAGCGGCACTTAGGTATGACCAAGTATAACAAGTGCTTCCATTTGTGTTAAGTCACAGCATCATGTAGCTCTGTGGTCCCCAACTCCCAGGCTGTGGACCGGTACCAGTTGGTGGCCTGTTAGGAACCAGGCCGTACAGTAGGAGGTGAGCAGCAGGTGAGCAAGTGAAGCTTCATCTGTATTTACAACCACTCCCCATCGCTCACATCACCACATAAGCTCCGCCTCCTCTCAGATCAGCAGCGGCATTAGATTCTCATAGGAGCTTAAACTCTACTGTAAACTGGGCATGCGAGGGATATAGGTTGCATGTTCCTTATGAGAATCTAATATCTGATGATCTGAGGTGGAGCTGAGGTGGTGATGCTAGCGCTGGGGAGAAGCTGCAAATACAGATTATCATTAGCAGAGAGGTTAGACTGCACAGAGACCACAATAAATCAATTGCTTGCAGACTCATATCAAAACCCTATCAATGAGTGGCAAGTGACAATGTGATAATAGAAATAAAGTGCACAATAAATGTAATGTGCGTGAATCATCCCCAAACCATCCCCCGCCCTCAGTCCATGGAAGAATTGTGTTCCATGAAACCAGTCCCTGGTGATAAAAAGGTTGAGGGTCACTGATGTAGCCAGGAGATTGTTTGGTCAAGAGAAGGTTATTCTTTTTAATAGTTGAGCATAATAACCGGAACTGTCATGACTAAGGAATACTTTTCTATTTCTCAGTTGGGTTAATAGAAGAGTACAACATTCATCCAAGTTGACAACCTTCCTTACTAGCTGAAATCATAAGTTAAATGATAAGGAAGAAAGTTTTGACTTTTGAAGTATGATGGAAATTACAAGTATTTAGAGATGTCAGATCAAATAAGCATCTAGGTAATGGTGCCATACAAATGAAAACATGACACAAGAATATTCTATTTATAATGAGAATATTTCAATGTCTTTATTTTCTATACTTTTCACATAATGGTCTTTCTATCACGTAATGGCCCTAGGTATTTAGAAGGATCTAACATTCTCTCACATATATTCTCACACCATGTTCAATTTTACTAAACTTTACTTGTAGATATATAGATATAGATATCCCATGTTTACGAGCATTTGGAGAAGAGGAAAAAATGTATTTGAGTACAGACTCCAATTTTTCAAAGCCCTCTTACCTTTTCTTCCTGCCTGGTCTCCATTGGTTTACCGTTGTTGTTGACTGAAGCTGGTTTATTTAAACTCCCAAGACACATCTTCCTTTTATGCTTTTCCATGTCTCCACTTCTGTCTCTCCTGTTCCCATCTGTTCCAATCGCAGGTAATGAAGGCACTGGTCCAATTCCCCTCCCTGCTACTCGCCCGGGGGCTCAGTGTTTCCCTCTAGATGATGCAGCATACGCTTGCACCAGGGTTTCACAAACCAGAGAAATTTTTAAATTTTGTGTTTTCTTTTTGATGACAATCTAAATAATTTAAAGGTAAACTCTTCCTTCTTGATGTATATTTATGTATTTCAATATTATGTAGCAATTTAGGATTTCAGCCTACTTGGAAAAACAAGATCATCGTCCCTATAGGCAGGAGAGAGATTAGATTTCTTTAAGTCTAGAGTACCCTGTGTTAAAACAATAATGGCCTTTTCCTTTGGTCAAAATTTTTCACAAAAAAATGGCACATTTTAATTGTTTCCAACTTTATTGACATATAATTGGCAAGTAAAAATTGTACATATTTAACTTTTATGTGTTGATTTGATATATGTATACGTTGCAAAATGATTACCACAATCAAGCTAATTAATGTTTGTCACTTCACAGTTACCCTTTGTGTGTGTGTACATGTGTGTGTGTGATGAGAACACTTGAGATCTACTTGTTCAGCAAATTTCGAGTATACAATACAGTATTGTTGACGATAGTCATCATGCTGTGCATTAGATCCCCAGAATTTGTTGCTTTTGTAACTGAAACTTTGTACCTTTAGACCAACATCTCCCCACTCCCACCTCTACCCACCCCTCAGTGACTGGCAACTACCACTCTACTCTCTGCTGCTATAAACTTGACTTTTTTAAATCTCACATATAAGTGAGATCATACAGTATTTGTCTGTGCCTGCCTCATTTCACTTAGCATAATATCCTCTGGTTTCATTCATGTTGTCACAAATGATGCAATTTCCTACTTTTTTATGATTGAATTATATTCCTCCATGTGTGTGCATGTGTGTGTATAAATCACATTTTCTTTATCCGTTCATCCATCAGTGGACATTGGGTCCTTTTCATCTCTCGGCTACTGTGAATAATGCTGCAGTGAACATGGGAGTGCAGGTAGCTCTTCAATATACTGATTTCATTTCCTTTGTATATATACCCAGAAGTGGGATTGCTGGAGCATATAGTAGTTCTATTTTTAGTGTTTTGAGAAACTTTCATACCGTTTTTCACAATGTCTGTACCAATTTACATCCCACCAGCAAGAGTTACCTTTTCTCCACATCCTTACCAACACTTATCTCTTATCTTTTTGATAATAGCTATCCTAACAGATAAGAGGTGATATCTCATTGTAGTTTTGATTTGCATTTCCCTGATAATTAGTGATGTTGAGCACCTTTTTCATGTACTTGTTGGCTATTTGTATGTCTTCTTTAGAAAAATGTCTATTTAGGACCTTTGCTTATTTTTTAATTGAGTCATTTGGTTTTTTGCTATTAAGTTCTGTGAGTTCCTTATGTATTGTGGATATTAACCCCTTATCAGATATATGGTTTGTAAATATTTTCTCCCATTTTGTGGGTTGTATTTTCATTTTTTTGGTTGTCTCCTTTGCTATGCAGAAGCCTTTTAATTTGATGTGGTTCCACTGATTTATTTTTGCTTTTGTTGCCTGTGATTTTAATGTCATATCAAAAATACCATTGCCAAGACCAATGTCAAGGACCTTTTTATCCCTGTTTTCTTCTAGAAATTTTATAGTTTTAGGTCTAGTGTTTAAGTCTTTTATCCATTTTAAATTAATTTTTGTATATGGTGTAAGATGAATCAAATTTGCATGTGGATATCTAGTTTCCTCAGAACCGTTTATTGAAGAGATTACAATATCCTTTCCCCTTTGTGTATTCCTGGAAAACTTGTCAAAGATAATTGTGTGTGAGTGGGTTTATTTTTAGGCAAATACATGTAGACTTTGAGTCAGCAGTTCCTCCTGTGGGTATATGGCCTTACAAATATACTCACACATATACAGAGCAACTTAAGTATAAGGTTATTTATTGTACATGGTTTTTAATATCAAAATGCCTATCAATGTGAGGCAGGATAAACAGGTTATGGCACATTCATACAATGAAACACTATTTAAGCATGGATGTATAAGGAAGATCACCTCAAACTAAATCAGAAAAACTTCCAAGATACATTTTTAGTGAAAAAAGCAAGATGCAGAAGTTACCATTTACACACTGTGAAGAGATGAATATATATATAATATAATATCATATGTTGCATATGTGTATCACATCTTTGAAAGGAAGTATTAATAATAGAAAATGGTAGCATGGATGCTAGCAGGGAGGGGAACCAATAGCTAGAAGGCAGAAGTGGAGTAGAAGGGCAATATTTTCTCTGTACCATTTTGTATCTATTGAATTTTGGACCACTAGGTTAAAAAGCAGAAATCTTGGAATTTTTTTGGATAGATCTAAACTTTCAGCAACAAAGAGGAAATTAGCAAATTGGGAAATAGCACTTACAAATAGACCTTAAAAAGCGGCACAAGTAAAAGAGAAAAGAACAAAAACAAATATAAAGAAGTGGTTGAACCATATGGGGAATAAATTAAAAGGAATAGACAACTATCAGTAAGTGGATCCTTATAAGAAAATAAAGGCAATGGCAGAGAAGCAATTTTTGAAGACCTGATGCCTGAAAAAATTCCCCAGAATTGAAAAAAACATGTGGGTACTCAAATAGAAAAGGCCCTCTGAGTATAAATGAGGAAAAATAAAAACTAATATCAAAACTATGTACATCACAACAAAACTAGAAAACATTGTGGATAAACAATCTTGAAAACTACTAGAGAAATTGCCAAAAAATATTAGAATTACAGAATTCTCAACAACAGTCAACTCCACAAGATCATAGAATAGTATTTCCAAAGTGCTGAGATTAAAATAACTGTCACCCTAGAATTTCATAATCAAATAAACTAGCTCATCATTCCATCTAACAATACCATTTCTCAGTGTATGTCTAGAAAAACCTTGCAACATGTGCACAAGAATATGCATTGATAATATTTGTTGCTGAAAAACTGAAAACAACCTAAGTACACATCTATAGAATAAAGGACAAAAGAATTGTGGTGTATATATAACAAAATACCATAGAACAGTTAAAATGAGTGAACTTGAGTTAATCTCTCAAGGTAGATAATGTAAGAAAACTGAGAGTGGCATGTGATGGATTTTATGTTTTAATCATGAAAACAATATATTATTTATGGATACATATTTATATAGTAAAAAATCAAAAAATACATAGGAATGGAACCAAGCAGGGCTGCCAGGTCGCTCTTCAGAGGTCGCTCTGAAGAATTTTCAGGTTCTAGATATTTGTAGAAAATAAAGGAGAAAAGTGGGACTGGGAAATATTTTGCGATCTGCCATTGTATTTCTGGTGTATGTATATATATATTTTACAGTACTGAAGCAAACACAGCAAGACAGCCAGATTTGCTATAGTAAAGTAGGAGGTACATGGGGTTGTATTAGTTAGCGGGTTTGAAATATGGTACAATAAGGCATTTGAAGCAGAGAGGTGGATGCATGTCCACCACCTGGCTGGGGCATGGCTGCTTTCTGTATTATGAGGTGTCACAGAGCGTGATGCAACAGAAGACTCAGAAGCCTTTCGAAACTTGCTCACTCACAGTTTCCCCCTGGAAGGAGAAACATCTGTGAAGTCAGAAGACGTAAAAGGAAACCAATTTAAAAACCGCGATGTGTAGCTTCATGTTTTTCATAAAATAGGAAGGAGAAAGCGAATGGTATTCTTCATTCTATCAGCTGTTTGTGACTTGGCCGGGTAATATGAGTGGAAGAACAAAGGCAAGAAGGGCTGCCAGGTTTTTCAGAGGTGGCACTGAAGAAGCTAGCAGTAGTGCTACCGGTAATGTTTTGCCATCAGAGCATGAAAACCCTGACCCAAACAGGTAGGTGACCTCGCAGAATAATGTGCCTAAGATCTTGTGTTATATATGTTTTATCTGTCACTTGTGCCTTGTTTGCCTGGAAAATAACCCAACAAATGCCAAATGGTTTCCTCCTTTTTAGAGAAAATCACTTCCAAATGGTTTCCCCTGAAGTTTTCTCTTGATCACAGTACTTTCCGTGGCTCGCTGTTTCCCTTCCATGTAATGGTATTTAGATTAATGTCAGTGGACTAGGGACAAGGACTAGGAAATAGGAGCCATTTTTTTTTTTTTAAAGAATAAACCTCAGCATCAGAAACTTGAAACCTTATAGCTAATTCACTTTTTTGTCCGTGGGCTAGCTTGTCCAGTCTTGGTGGTATGCAGAGGTTAGCACTGGCTTAGGACTCTGGACACAGAGTGGCATTTATTACATCCTTGGGTGAGAATTGACTAGAGTCTGTTAGCGGATACAAATTTTGAGCTAATAACCGTGTTTCCTGTACAGAGAATAAATGTGGAAATTACCTGTAAGGAGATGGTGGGGAGGGAGCCCTGCTTCTTGTGTTGGCCAAAGACCCAAAACCTCTCCAATTTGCTGCCTGCTGGGGAAAGAAAAACTGAAAGTAATGAAATAACCAGCCTATGAGTAAGGATGGAGCGCTTGCACAGAAACAAAATTGTCAATAAAAATAAAAGGACTACTACAAAGTTATTAGTACAAGAAGAGTAGAATTTGAAAATCACAATAGATAACAAATCATACTCACTCCCAAATCGCAGAATCCCACCAGCTGGGTGAAGGCATAAAGGAGTTTTGCAAAGCAAAGCCTGGCAGCCAGGCTTTTTAGTAAAAAGTGAATTAATCTTTGGTAAATATGTAATGTGGTGGTTTTCATTTAATTCAGCCCACCAGGAGGGATCTTCTGGGCCCTAATTGACATTTGAATCACTGTCTTTCAACAGTGGACCCCCTACTGCTCCCCACATGACCAATAATATTTAAGGTGGGGGGGAATACACTTCCTGAGTACACCTCCCTGAAGGGAAGAGAGTTAAGAAGAGAGTTAAGCAACTTCTTAGTTGTGTTTTGCATGGTTCGTGACCCTGAATGGCCAATAAACATGATTGCCTTATGCAGGGGAGATAAGCTACTCAAAGATTCTGTTTTGGGGAAGTTGGGAGGCTCACCCTCAGTCCCCTGCGGTGTTCGGGCTGCAGTTTTACAAGGCCCAACTGACATTGCAACTCAAGAGCAGATCACTGAGAGAGTGAATTTGTACATCACACGGTCAACTAACTTGAAAAATTAATACAAGTAATCTATTTATTGACAGTTGAACATAATTTTAAAGAAGGAGCAAAATTTAAATAAATACACATGTCTAAATATAAATTAAATTACTTTCAGGCTTAAGGTTACCTTCTTAGCTATTCTTTATAGACCCAGAGCAGGAAATTGTGCCTTTCAGTTGATGGAAACTAGGTCAGAAACAACAGGTGAAAAATCAAAGGTCAAATTGCTAAAGTGACTTGAAATTCTGGGGCCAGCTCTGCTCCCCTTCCCTAAACTGTAACCCAGTGCTGCAGCCAGTTGCTATCTGCAGCTAATGAGAGATCCATCTTAATGCAGTTTCTCTTATGTCTTACTAAGTAGAAACTTCTAGTTTGTCAGCTTGTAATATTTTGTCCAGAAGTCCGGAAGCTTACAGCCTTCTGCCTTAGCTTGATTAGACTATTTTAGCCTTTTTTTCCCTTTAAGGCTTTCTAAAATGTTGGGAGTGAAAAGGTTATAACTACAACCACTTTGTATTATAAAATGGTTTAACATTATATATTGGTTTAATTTATTAACAAATGAATATGCACATATTCTTGATCCAGCACTATGATCCAGCACTTCTCTTGGGACTATACCTAAATAAAATACATACATTTGTTCATCAAAAAACATGTACAAGAATGTTCCTAGCGGCATTACTTATAAGAATATCTCTTTCTCACAGCGTTGTTTATCATGGCCCCAAAGACCCACCAATGTTAGGATAGATACCCGTGTGGTATATTCACACAATGGAATACTATCCATTCATGAGAATAAATAGACCACAACCACACACAGTAGCACAGATAACTCTCACAAATGCAATGCTGAGAACAGAGGAAGACTGACGGAGCACATATACACATCGTTCCATTTACACAAAACCAGGCAAGCCGAGTTGATGGGAATAGAACTCAGGAGAACAGTTACCTTTAGTGGTGGATGTAAGATCTAATGGAGGCAAAAGAGGCGCTTCTGATGGACTGGGTGTACTCATTTGCTAGAACTGCACTAAAAAAAACACCACAGGCTTAAATAATAGAAACTTGTTCTATCCGTTTGGGAGGCCCGGAAGTCCAAGATCAAGGTTCTAGCTGATTCAGTCTTTGCCGAGGGCTCTCTTCCTGGCTTGCAGACAGCCTCCTGCTCACTATGTCCTCATGCAACCTTTCTTCTGAGTGCAGACACAGACAGAGAAAAGAACTCTGCTCTTTCTTCCTCTTTTTATAAGGACACAAATCCTATCAGTTTAGGGCCCCACTTTTATGACCTCATTTAACCTTATTAGCTGCTGAAGACCCTATGCCCAAATACAGTCACACTGAGGGCAGGCTTCAGCCTATGAAATTGGGGGGATACAATTTTTTCCGCAGCAATGAGGATAGTCTGTTCCTAGTCTGGGTGTAGCTGCATGGATATGCTCGTTCTGTGAGGGTCACTGGGCTGTACAATAGTGCTTTGTGCCTTTTCTGTATGCATGCTATATTTCAACACGAAGTGAGAAAAAGGGTTATGATGACTTTAAATAATTTCATCAGATAATTGTTAAAGTTTTTAGCTTAATACCTAATTTCTACAAAATCAGAGCCTGACTCTTTCTTTCTTTCTTTTCTTTTCTGTCTTTCTTTCTAGCTCATTCTGCATTTGAGACCTCTAGGATAATTGCCTTTGTTTTCTTCTTGTAAGCATTTAAAGAATATAAATAGGTACATAATAGCATACAGTTATGTGTGTGTGAGTGAGGGGTATGAATGTATGTATGTACACACCATGGTGAAACTATCTTCTCTCAATTTCAAAAACAATGGATTAGGAATTAAATGACTTCACAGATTCAACCTAGAATATGCAAGAATGATCACAAGCAAGTTTGTTGACTTGAATGTAGGGGCCAGTATAAAGCCCAGATTAAAGGGTAATAGTTATGTATGACATTATTAAATTCTTTTTCTAATCATTGTTTTTATTCTTTTTAGGAGAACTCGATCACGAAAGACTGTCCTAAGTATGATACTTGCATTGACTTTCCTTGTCGTAGGTAAGTATTACTTACTAAATAATGATCCTTAAAGCCGTTCCACAAGATATGTTTGCATGGTGAGAGAGATCTCAGTGGAATGACTCATATTTGTAAATAAGTGCCACAGAAAATGTTAGAGGTAACCTGCACATTCCTAAAGCATTTTTTGGTCTTTTATTTCTGATTATAAAAATAATATAAGCTGTTTTATGGAAAATTTAGAAAGTGCTTTTTTCTCTTAGAGTTTTGGTTTAAAACAGAAATTGCTTTAAAGTTAAGAATCCTTAATATATTTATTGCAAACACATTATACACTTCACCTTTTCTAAATTTGGGTGACTCAGCTTGGGAGATTTTGACAACCAAAGACTCTTGCTCATCACACTGTTCTCAAGTAAATTATTGCTAAACGTGCAGTAGTAATTTCTGACTGGGCAGTATCACAACCAACAACCCTGGTACACTGAAAAATTGCTCTTTAATATATTGACAACTTGAGGCATGGAGTTCCCATTAAAATGAGGGCAATAACCCAAGTATTGCCATGAAATCATGTTCTATAACATGGCAGTATTCTGGGCACTACTTCTTTATGACTGCACATGTGTTCCTGAACTGCTGATTTACCCTGACTCTGCACCAGCCCCAGCTCAGGCCTGCTCCATCCATTAGTTGCAGCTTGATGGGCAGGGAGTGCCCATTCCGGCTCAGTGGACCTCCAGACTAGACTCTGAATACTCCAGTTTCTAATGAGAACTACACATTGTTTGGCTTGCTCTGTTTCCCAGCTGTCTTCATCTCTGTTGACCTTGGAATTGTTACCCTCTGCTGGCCTTGCCCACCTTGCTGCTGTCTGGCTCCTCTCGTTACCCCGCTATGGATGAAACTTCCTCCTGGCACCTACCCCAGGCCTGCGTGCAGTGATTCAAACCTGTTCTTCTTAGTCTCCACTCCAGTGCCTGCATCAGGAGTGCATAGCGTGGGCATTGGAACTGTTAATATTTGTGTTCAGGATCTGTCTCATTCTGTAAATTACACCCCATATTCCCTTGAAATCTTTTAAGACACACACACACACACACACACACACACACACACACACACACATATCTTTACAGTGGATGCAACTGCTTCTTTGTATTTCCCAAGTTTAAGCTTATAACAAGTGTGCCAGATCCATTTGAGATACCACTGATATGTGAGTTATTTCAGTGGTATTAAATGACTCTGATTTTTTTTTCTCTATTGAAGTGAAGTTCACATAATGTAAAACTAATCATTTCAAGTGAACCTTTCAGTGGCATTTAGTGCACTCACAATGTTGTGCAATCACTGCCTCTATATAGTTCCTAAATATTTTTACCACCTCCAAAGGAAACCCCATACCCATCACGCGGTTGCTCTCCATTTCCCCCCTCCCAAGACCATGGCAACAAACAATCTGCATTCTATCTCTGTGGGTTTACTTACACTGAATATGTCTTATAAATGGAATCATGCAACATATGACCTTTCTCTTCCGGCTTCTTTTACTTAGCATGTTTTCAAGGTTTATTCATATTGTAGCATGTGTCAGTCCTTTATTCCTTTTTGTAGCTAAATAATATTGCATTATATGTATATACCACATTTTGTTTATCTCTTTATCCACTGATGGACATTTGAAATGTTTCCACCTTTTGGCTATTGTGAATAGTGATACTATGAACATGTATGTATATGTTTGTTTGAACATCTGTTTTCAATTCTTTTGAGTATATACCTAGTAGTGGAATCTCTAGGGAGAAACCACAAGACTGTTTTCCACAGTGGCTGCAACATTTTATATTCCCATGAGCAGCGTATGAAGAGTCCAATTTCTCCACACCTCTACTAACATTTGTTGTTTTTCTTTTTCTTTTCCTCCATTACAGCCATCCTGGTGGATTTAAAGTTGTACTTCATTGTAGTTTTGATTTCTCTAATGACTAATGATATAAAGCATCTTTTTATGTGTTTATTGACCATTTGTATATGTTCCTTAGAGAAATATCTATTCAAGTCTTTTGCTCATTTCTTCACTAGGCTATTTGTCCTTTTGTTGTTGAGTTGTAAGAGTTCCTTATAAACTCTAGATACTAGACCCTTCTCAGAGATAAGACTTAAAAATATTTTCTTTTATCCTGTAGGTTATCTTTGTACCTTCTTTATAATGTCCTTTGATATATAAAAGTATAATTTAATTTTGATGATGTCGTATCAAAGAATCCATGGCCAAATACTAGGTCATGAAGATTTATACTGTTTTATTCTAGGAGTTTTGTGGTTTTAGCTATTATATTTAGGTCATTGAACCATTTGGAGTTCATTTTTGTGTATGATGAAAGTTAAGGGTTCAATTTCTTTCTTTCTTTCTTTCTTTCTTTCTTTCTTTCTTTCTTTCTTTCTTTCTTTCTTCCTTCCTTCCTTCCTTCCTTCCTTCCTTCCTTCCTTCCTTCCTTCCTTCCTTCCTTCCTTCCTTCCTTCCTTCCTTCCTTTTTCCTTCCTTCTTTCTTTCCTTCCTTTTTTTCCTTTATTTCTTTTTTTCTTCTTTTTTTTGGGGGGGGGATGTGGATATCTAGTTGTCCCAGTACCATTTGTTGAAAAGATTATTCTTTCCCCATAGGAATCTTTGAATAGTCTCTTGGCACTTTTGCCAAAACTTAAGTGACCACAGATGTATGGATTTATTTCTGAATCTTCTGTTGCATTGGTCTATATGTCTGTCATTATGCCAGTATCACACTGTTGGGATAGGGAATTTTTAAGTAGGTATTTCTTGGAATCTATAGATAGCTTTGGATAGTATTGCCATCTCAACAATAGTAAGTCTTCCAATCCACGAGCATGGGTTGTCTTTCCATTTAGTTAGGTCTTCTTAATTCCTTTCAGCAATGTTTTCACTTTTGGTTCTAAAGTGAATCTGTAAGCAGCATATAATTGGATCATGTTTTTAAATCATTATCCTAATATCTGCATTTTGATTGAAGAGTTTAATACATTAACATTTAAATCAATTACTGTTTAGGAAGGGTTTACTTCTGCTATTTTTCTATTTTTTTGTAATCTGAGTCTTATACTTTTTTTTGTTCCTCATTTCCTCCATTACTGCCTTCTTTTATGTTTACTTGGTTTAACACCTTAAATTTCTATAGTTTGAATTGATACCAAAGTAGCTTCATTAGCATACAAATAGTCTGCTCCTATACAGCTCTGTCCCTCATTATGTTGTCAGAAATTGTATCTTTACACACTGTGTACTCATTAACATAGATTTATAATTATACTTTATGTGTTTGTCTTTTAAATTATGTAGGAAATAAAAAAAAGAGTTGCATGGCTGGGCGCGGTGGCTCACGCCTGTAATCCTAGCACTTTGGGAGGCCAAGGCAGGCGGATTGTTTGAGCTCAGGAGTTCCGGACCAGCCTGAGCAAGAGTGAGACCCCATCTCTACTAAAAATAGAAAGAAATTAATCAGACAACTAAAAATATATAGAAAAAATTAGCCGAGCACGGTGGCACATGCCTGTAGTCCCAGCTACTCGGGAGGCTGAGGCAGTAGGATCGCTTGAGCCCAGGAGTTTGAGGTTGCTGTGAGCTAGGATGACGCCACAGCACTCTAGCCCAGGCAACACAGTGAGACTCTGTCTCAAAAAAAAAAAAAAGAGTTGCAAACCAAAACCACAATACTACTGGCTTTTATTATATATTTACCTATATAGATACCTTTTGGCGGATCTTGAGTCTTCATATGGCATTGAGTTACTCTTTAATGTCCTTTCACTTCAGCCTGAATAACTCTCTTCAGTGTTTCCTGTAGGGCTGGTCTATAAAAGCCCTCAGCTTTTATTTATCTTGGTATGTCTTAATTTTTCCTTTATTTGGAAGAATAGTTTTGCTGGATATAGAATTTTTTCCCCCAGCACTTTAAATATGTCATCCCACTGTCTTCTGTCCTCCATATTTTCTGATGAGAAATCAAGTGATAATCGTATGCAGGATTCCTTGTACATGACAAGGCATTTCTGTCTTGATGCTTTCAAGATTTTTCCTGTGTCTTTTTGTCTTTTGACAGTTTGATTATAATGGATTTCCGTGTGGATCTTTTTAAGTTTGTCCTACCTGAAGTTTGTTGAGCTTCTTGGATGTGTAGATTCATGCTTTTTATGAAATTTGGGAAATTTTCAGACATTATTTCTTCAAATATTCTTTCTGCCCTTTTCTCTATATCTCTTCTTTCTGGGACTGCCACATGCGTATGTAGATCCACTTGATGGTGTCCCACAGGTCTCTTAGGCTATGTTCACTTTTCTTTCTTTCTTTCTTTTTTTTTTTTCTGTTCCTCAATCTCAATTGCTATAGTCCTGTCTTCAGGTTCACTGATTTTTTCTTCTGCCTGCTCAAATCTGCTGTTGAGCCCTCTAGTGAATTTTTTATTTTAGTTATTTCTTTTTCAGCTTCAGAATGTATATTTAGTTTCTTTCATAATTATCTTAATTAATATTCTCATTTTATTCATACATCATTTTCCTGGGCTCCATTAGCTCTTTGTCCATGTTTTCCTTTAGTTCTTGATCATATATAAAACAGTTAATTTAAAGATTTTGTTTAGTAAGTCCAATGTCTGCACTTCCTCAGGGCTGTTTTCTTTTCTTTTCTTTTCTTTTTCTCTTTTCCTTTTGAATGGGCCATGCTTTGCTATTTCATTGTATGTCTTGTAATTTGGGTTGTAAATTGGGCATTTGCATATTATAATGTGATAAACCTGGAAATCAGATTTTCTCCTTCCCCAGGACTTGCTGGTTTGTTATATGTTTATTAACTTTTTCAAACTATTTTTGCAAACTGTATTTCTTGTCATATGTGTTTACCATTCCATTATTTTAGTGGTGATCCAAGGATTTGACAGATATTTCCTTGAATTCCTGGAGAAAGAAAAAGACGAGGGGTGGGGAGGGAGGGAGGAAAAGAGAGAGAGAGAGAGAGAGATAAAGAGATTACTCTCTCAATCTTTGCAGCTTAGCTCTAAGCTGAGACATTCCTTCAAGGCTAAGCCAGTCTACCTACCCCCTCTGCCTCAGTCTTTTCCTCCTGTTTACATAAAACTCACAGACCCATCAGAGGTGCAAGCCCAGTCTCCTCTTGAAGAACATTTTCTGACCGTGTGCCCAGTCCTGGACATGCACATTGCACTGTATCTTCTCTGGTATATGCAGCAGTCTTTCTGAATTCTTTTTCCTATAAGAGACTGTCTCCTTCCTGGGCTTTTGGGTTTATGTGCCACTTCCCTCATCCACTGTTCCTTGCCCCAGGTGGGTATGGGCAATCTATGTTTTTTAACTCTTTCAACAGATATTGCCAGAAAGCCATGTCAGTCCAAAGGGTGAAATAAAACAAAAGTCAGCTTCTGTGCCAACCACTCAGGGAACCATGGGATGGGTCAAAACTCATGACCACAGTATTTTAAGAACAAGATCTTTATTAGCTGACAGGAATGTGAACTGCTGTCCCTAAAGTTGCCCCCACCGTGTTGGGAAATGGAAGGCAGTAGGAAGGTAAATTAAAATGCCACAATGCTCTCTTACCAAAAACTAGCCACCCTTTCTTCAGTTCTCTGATTGCTGTAGATTTTGGATTAGATTCTAGAGTTCCAAATAAGTTGATTCTGTCAGTCTTTGCCAGCTTATGGTGATTTCTATGTAGGACTGATTCTTTGAGTGCCCTATTCCACCATTTTCTATGTTGTCAGCCAAGGATCTGATACTCTTTTTAAGAGCTCATATATCCTCCATGCTTAGAAAAATTCCTATTAATACACATAAAATATTTTATAAATGTTTCTAGATAAATTTTTAATCAGAGTTGATCTTATCTTTAACAGGACTTCGAAGTCATCAGTGGCTTAAAGAAATAGAGTTGCCTCAAAAATCCAGACAAGTATATGCTATACTTGCAGAATATGGTTCAAGGATTTATAATTATCAGGTGATGTTTTGTTAAGTCATTTTGTATGTCACTTATTTAAAATTCCACATGCTACAAGGCTAGCTCGACTTGCAATATGTTATCTTTGTTTTGTATGAGAATATCTAATGAAAATATTGTAGGAAATGGAATTCTATTAAGTAGTTGCTATGGTTTGAATGTCCCTACTAAAACTCATGTTGAAATTTAATTGCCATTGTAACCATGGTGAAAGGTGGGACCTTTAAGGGGGAGTGGATTAATGCAGTTATCATGGTGGTCAGTTAGTTATCTCAAGAGTGGGCTCCTTAGAGCAAGTTTGGCCCCATTTCCTTCTCTGTCTCTCATGCTTGTTTGCCCTTCCACCATGGTATGACCCTCACCATGTGCTGGCACCATGTTCATAGACTTCCCAGCCTTCAGAACTGTGAGCCAAATAAACTCCTTCTCTTTATAGGTTGCTCAGTCTGTGTATTCTGTCATAGCAGCAGAGAATGGACCAAGACAGTGGTTTTATGGCTAGGAAGCCCTAAAAATTCTCCATAGCCTCTGATCCCTGCAGGCTCTCCAGGGGAAACTCAATCACAACAAAAAATGGCAAATACATCTTTTTCATTAACTTCTGCTCAACACTGGACAGTGTGGCACTGCCCCTTGTCCTGAGGCTAGCTAGATCTAAGTGAGCTTAGACTGACATCAGTCATTGAACATCCTCTGTCTGGTCCACCACCCTGTCTGCCTCTCTAGCTTTCCGGACTGAGCCTTGTCGAGTCTACGTTTGGACCTCAGAAGACAGAGGGAGAAAGATGGCAGGAGCTATGGCCAGGTTTCCACTGCTCTGTGGGAAGATGGACAGACCTGTCTCCACCTATATGTTGACCTTTTTAACCCACAGTGACTCTAGTGACCCCAGCCAGTGGCCTTGGATCTATCTGATCAGATTCATACTTCATGTTCTGCTCCCTCAGCAGCTCTGAAATCCTCTACTTCCCAGTTCCTCCAGAAACTGCCTCATTCCAATGTGTCTTGCCACATGGAATCCCTAAAAGGGAGGAGACTGTACTTGTATTGCCCTTGCAGTAGTCCAGCGAGGAAACTTCCCTTTGAGGTTCATAGATTGACACCTGGAATTGCTTTCAATCTCAAAGATGCTGCTCACGCTGCGTATATTGAGAGCCTGTGAGCCCTCAGACCTGACAGCCATGTGGAAACCCCACCAAGAGAGTCAGTGTGAGATAGCTCCTACACCACAGGTTTCTCACATCAAAGACTAGGACCCAGGCCTACGGGGGCTGCGCCTGGATAGTTAGGTCATCACCAGAAAAACAGCGATGAGCATGCAGGGTGGACAGGATTGCTCCAACATTGCCATGGTGCCCAGATGTTTGGTCAACCAACAGTCTAGATGTTGCTGTGAAGGTATATTGTAGAAATGATTAATGTTTAAATCAATAGACATTTTTTATACCTCGTCCTAGAGTCCAAAGGCATAAATCAATAGAATTTAAGTAAAGGAGATTACCCTCCACGATACAATGTGGGTAGGCCTCATTCAATCAGATAAAGTTTTAAGAGTAAAGACTGAGGTCACCCAAGGAAGAAGAAATTCTGCCTCCAGATGGCCGCAGACTCGAGCTGCAACATCAACTCTTCCCTGGTTTGCCAGCCTGCCAGCCTTCCCTGTAGATTTCAGACTTGCCAGCCCCTACAATCATGTAAACCAATTCCTTTAAATAAATCTCTCTATATATATTATACATCAGGTTGGTTCTGTCTGTCTGGAGAACTCTGACTAATATGTTCGTAAGCTTCTCTAGCACGTTCTGTTAGGGCCTGAACATTGGATGCTCCCTATGCCCACAATATTCTGCTACAGATCATTGTAGGGGCAATTCCTTTATGAAATTCCAGCCAGCTTAAATGTCACCCCCTGACACAAGCTTCTGTAACAACACCCAGGTAGAGGTGAATCATAATGTTACCTCTACTTTATCTTAGACACCCATTGATTTCTTAACCAGCTCTCTTCCTGCCTTCTCCCCTTTTTGCTAAAATGTAGTGAGCAGGGAGCTTGTCTAGAGCTTAGAACAGTACCCACATGCGTGGAGTGTTAATAAATACCTGCATGAATGAATGAATGATTTGGCAGCATCGTCGATCACATTTTCAAAAAGCACACTTTCCTTCCGCCTCCCAATTTTAGGCTGACCAACATACTCAAGAGTTCCTTTAGAAATTTCTAAGGTTGTGTTTCTAAAGACAGTATTTTTCATGAGGTTGAGGTTCAGCTATGGTCATTTATCTTTGACCAGATTGCACTGGTTTGCACACGGGCAAAAGCTCTGTGGGAAACCATTTGAGACTGATAGTGAATCTATATGAGCTCTTTATAACTCTCAAGCTACATGCAATAGATGCTATTTAGTGGCTTGTTCTTATTCACTTAATAACAGCATATTTTAAACGTGCATGTTCCCTTGCTTTTAGATATTATTTTACAGCAGCATTTTATGTCTGACTAATATCCAATGAATAATATATTCAATAAATACTTATTTCTAAACAATTGGATTGTTTCTAATTTTTTAATATTATCAACATAAATATCATGTGGCTAAATCATTTCACCTATCCTTGATTATTTACTTAGGATAAACTCCCAGAGGAAAAATAAAGAGAAAATATTCACAACTTTTAGGTTACCTTATTTTTATATTGAATCTTTTTTTTTTTTTTTTTTTTTTTGAGACAGAGTCTCACTCTCTTGCCTGGACTAGAGTGCCGTGGCGTCACCCTAGATCACAGCAACCTCAAACTCCTGGGCTCAAGCAATCCTTCTGCCTCAGCCTCCCGAGTAGCTGGGACTACAGGCATGCGCCACCATGCCCGGCTAATTTTTTCTATATATTTTTAGTTGTCTGATTAATTTTTTTCTATTTTTAGTAGAGACGGGGTCTCGCTCTTGCTCAGGCTGGTTTCAAACTCCTGAGCTCAAACAATCCTCCCTCCTTGGCCTCCCAGAGTGCTAGGATTACTATATTGAATCTTGATGACTCGATACTGCTTTGCAAAAATATGGATATGCCTCCCCACCTTCCACCGTGGAGAACAGGAAAACAGTAATAGTTAAGCATCAGAAGTGACCCTGAGCAGACCAAGTACATATTTCATTTTATCCTTAAAATGACCCGTTAGTAAGAGTAATACTAAATCCATTTAAGGATTAGGAAGCTGGATAGAACAGTGAAGAAAAGCAGCCTGAGGTCACACAGCTGCAAAATCCAGAGCTGGAATTCAAACCTAGACTTTGCTGAGCCTGGGCCTGCCATCCAGACACAGACTTTGCTCACTGCTACAGTGAGGACAAAATTGTATTGTCACATGCTGTGTAGCCTCAGCGACTACAGAATCATCTTCGCTTAGTCCATTTGTGCTGTTGTAATAAAATGCCACAGACTGTGTAATTCATAAAGAACAAAAATTTATTTCTCACAGTTCCAGAGGCTGGGAAGTCCAAGATCAAGGCACGAGCTTTCTGTGTTTACTTCGGGCCTTCTTGCTGTGTTCTTACATGGCAGAAGGTGGAAGGGCCAAAGGGGCCTGAACTAGATCCCGTGGTTCCTTTAACAAGGGCACTAGTCCCTCCTGGTACTAGCACAGTGGGGATTAAGTTTCAGCAGGAGTTTTGGAAGGGACATAAACATTCAAAGCATGGCAATCACAGTGAAGAATTCAAGACCAATGATTTCAAATTACTTACTCCAACATTTAATTGGTTTATATCTAAAAACCTATTATATTAAGCAGTAAGCTTAATTATTTACTCAGGGGAACAGCCTGCAACTATTACATCTTCTATAATTCACCGGGAAGTTATATGATTCAAAATTAAGTGTTTTATGGGATTTTGTTGAAGGAAAAAAAAAAAAAACTTTTAACGGCTATGTGAAACATTTGTTAACACTTTATTGAATTTTTCCCAGTTCAAATTACTAGAGCTGTGTTCTAAGGTATAAAACTTTTGGTCTCAGTCAACATTATCTGAAGAAAAAAAACCCACAAATGAAACTATGGCTCTGCCCACAGCTATTTCTTTTCCAGCCTTTACCTGACTCCCTAATTTCCCATTCCCTGTAAATGCTACATCTGCTCAGTTGACAGCTCATGCAGTCCTAATCCATCAGGACTGAGATTGGGCACACAGGTTTCATGAGGAGTTTCGTTACAGAAAACAATATCCCTGGAGGCTGTGCCATCTTCACAAATACTCTGAACATCCTAACATTCTGTGAGAATTTGCTTGACTTTGTTTTGAGGCTGACAGCCTACAGGGAAGAATGTTCTAGGGAAGTTCTTAGGGCACTCCCCAATCTTATCATCAGGAGTGTTACAGAGCGATTATGAACCATACACAAAGCAGCCTCTGCAACACTTTTTTTAATTTTTTTGTTTACATTGTGTGTGCTGTAAATTTTGGTTATCCATCTCCCGCCCCCCCCTTCATTTGGTTGCTATGATGTTCAGAAACAAATTTGGGGCCCACAGCTAATAACATCAAGGAATTTAAGGCATGAGTATGTTTTAACCCCTCCTGTTATCTCACTTTTCCAATCCTTATTTTCCCTTCACTTTTATTTCCTCACTTACTTTTTTTCTATATATATTCCGATAGTGGAACGCTCCTAAATGCTTTCGGGAATGAAACAAAATAAAAATGTTTCAAGAATTATGGAAAATTTTATTTTTCAAGGAATTCAAATTCATTTATCAGCAAATTAATTAAGGAGTATTTCCTATATGTTCTTTTAAGGCTAGAATAGAAAAAAGCAAGAAATTGAAAATGCTGCCCGTACTGACAGAACTCACTCAAACAGAATTTTAAAAACTAGAAAGAAAATCTCTACTTGCCCATAATAAGCTCCCAAATCATATCCCTGTCAAAAGAAAAATGTTGAGGGGAGCATATAAGAAATAAAATTGCTCAGCAAAAAAAAAAAAAGCAAGATAACATTCTTCTGTGTGCCATACTGTGTTCCATTCCATTATCACACATCGCATGACGGTGTTTATGATACGTCGCTTTGTGCATTGCACTGCTCTGGGCACAGCAAACCGATGGGACATATTGACGATCACCATAGGAGGTTGAAAGGTGACCCTTCAAAAGTTATGTCCACTTCCTGACCCCCAGAACCCCTGAATATGATTTTCATTTGGGAAAAGGATATTTGCAGATGTAATTAAGGATCTTGAAATGAAATCACCCTGGATCACTCAGATAAGCCCTAAATCCAAGGATCTCTTTAAAAGACTCCCGGAGAGACACACAGATAGAAGAGAAGGGGCCATGTAAGGACAGAGGCAGAGACTGGAGTGATGCAGTCACATGCCAAGTAACTCCTGCAGCCACTAGAAGCTGGAAGAGGCCAGAAGCAGAATGTCCCTGAGGGCCGCCAGAGGAAAGCACAGCCCTATGGACACCTTAATTTCAGACTTCAGCCTCCAGAATTGTGAGAGCATGAATTTCTGTTGTTTCAAGCTGCCCAGTTTTTAGTCATTTGTTATGGCAGCCCCAGGAACTCATGGGGTCCCTTTGAGTTCTCTGTTGGGCGCCTAAAGTGTGAACTTTGTTGCTAAAAGGATGTAATCCCTAAATATCTGCATGTGGGCTTCCCTGCCTGGCAGGGGGAATATGAGGATGAGACAGAATTCTGGAAACTACTGCTGGAATCCTGCAAGATTTAAGGGAACTGATTGCTAGAGTTGAACTCAGTGTTTCAAACTTTATCATTTCTTCACTCTAATCTGTATTATTAATATTTTCTTGGCATCTGTTAAAGGTACTGCCCTCCTAACCAATGATAAACCACCACGGTAAAATATGTAGGGCAGGAGAGTTCCGGACCGTAAAGAAAGGATGTCAGAGGTCATTCCTCAATGGGTGCTGTGGATCGTTTCTACCGGAGTCCTGCTGGGAAGGGACTACCCTTTCACATGTCTCCTCCCCCTCCCACCAGCCTGTTCACTCTGGTGTTGGCCTCAGCACCCTTTCATATTGGTGCTTCAAGGCTCTATGTTTTGCCCTCCTTTTCTCACTGTGGGTAATATTATGGACCTTCTCCAATATTCCAATATTATAGAATAGGTGCTGTGTGCACGTGTGAGTATGCATGTGTGTGTATGTGTGCATTTGTGTGCATGTATGTGTGTGTGTTTGTGAGTGTGTGTGTATGTTCGTGTCTCATGCTGGGAACAGACAGGTAGGGTGGGTGTGCAGGGCTTCAGGATGCTCCCAGGCTGGTGACCACTGGGGCATCTGAAATGTGAGCTCCCGACCGCCATCATCCGTGGGAGCACCTAGAGGAGACACAGTGGGAAGAGCTTAGGGGCACAGAGGCACAGGCTGGCCAAGGCCCAAGGTCGTCTCGGTGGGAGGAAGAGGTGGTGAGGCCCTTCCGCATTCCAGGCAGAGGGACAGAGTGTGCAGTAGTCAGACAGAGCAGACCCATGGTGCTGCCTGCATTCTGGCATCCACTGTCTCTCCAGGGTTTACGTTTTAACTGACAGTCTCCACAGCAGCCCTACAGCCACACGTCTTGTCCAAAGGGCAATGTTATCTTCCCCTGGTGTTCGTGTCTTGGTTTGAGCACCACCCCTTCACACGTGAGGACATCTGTACCAGACACCTCATCAGTGTTAGATAAATGTCTGCAATTTTCTGATTGTTATTGCTAATCTAACCCCAAAGTAGTAATAATCACATCCCTTTCTTATTTACAATTGAGAGGCCCCCTCTTTGTTCAGGGACAAGACCAAAGAACTCAGCATGGCCCTCTGCTCCCTGGACTTTTCCAAATCAGCCAAGGTCCCTCCCGCCCCCCGACTCCTCTCCCTTTCCCTCCCTCTATCTTCCTCTCCTCTCCATCTCCTTCCCTCCTCCCCGCCAGACTCTGTTTAATATTTTCACAATCCTGAGAAACAGCAAATGATGTGCCCATCTTAGAGCTCCTATTGAATGTCACTCATTATTAAATAGATTTGTGTGTTGCCTCGTCTCTTCCGAATGTGATAACTACACACGAGTGAGGCTGAGAAAGATGCAGGTAGCTTAGAGGATGCTCCTGTGTTCCAGCCGGCTCTTAGTGTGTATCAAGAGTTGAAGTGTGATTCTTCCCCCTTTCTGAGCAAAGAAAAAAATAGCTCTATTTGAATACACAGAATTCAGAATGATTTAACTTTTTTTTTTTTCAGGCCAGACTTCGTATGCCGAAGGAACAACTGGAACTATTGAAGTGAGTGAGATGTTCTGATATGCACCACTTTCTGGTGTGGTTCCAAATATGAAATGTTCTTGTAAAATTATACAACTAAAATAATTTCTCCATAATAATAATAATATACCTTTCCTCTTCGTGCCAGTTAGGAGCATTTTTGTGGCCTTTTCCTCTTGTCTATTATGAAAAGACAACATATCTGTTTTTAAATAATGTATATGCTTAAGTGGGGGAAAGCAGTTTTTCTTGGGTTGTTTCCTCCTTCTGATAAGTTCAAATAAAAATAAACATACTATTTTAAATATTAAATATAACATGTATAGATTAATTTACCTCTGACCTTTTAATCCTTTCTCTTTTTTTTCTTTTTCTTCCTCCTTTCATTCTATCTGCATATATGAGTAGAGAAGTGCTAGGAATGATGTCACAAATGGTAATGATGATTATTTCTGGGGGTAAAATATTGGGTTATTTCTCAGAGTAACTTTTGTTTTTTATGCTTTTCTTTACCTCTTTTTTCTTTATAATAAGCATGTATTTTTAAAACAAAAACAATAGCATTTTTATTAAAGGAAATTACTTGACCTTTTATATAAATATGATCTCTATTTTGTTACTAATTTTTTGCCTGGAATAAAAACTGTTAGAAACACACCAAAATTTAACAATGTTGTTTCTTCAAAATGTTGTATTTTTCCAATTTTAACATGTATTGTTTTACAATTTGGGAAAAAATACTAGATAAGTAGTGCCTATATTTTTCCATAAAGAAATACTTAGATACTTGACATTTTCTTATTCTCTCTACCAGTAAGTTTTAAACAGTAAAAGTAGAGGAACTCATTCTTGGAAAGCAAAATCTTGCCCTCTCAGGCTACCAATAAAAGTTAAAAGGTCCCCTTAGCTGGATGCCCCCTCACCCCACTTTCCAAAGTCACTTTCATAGAACTCCAGGCCACAGTTTGAAAACCACTGCTCTGTATGACACTTGAAATGCAAGGTGTCCTGATTTGAAGGAGGACAACAGGACAACGTGGGATTTAGGACTCCCATGTGTGAAGTCACCCAGCCAGGGACAGGCAAGGTTGACTGAGCCCTGCCTGCCAGGCACAGAGCCCAGCCAAGCACTAGGACACCCTCTACAAAGTGTCATGTCTCTGCTTTTCTTATGTTGTGGAAAGTAATGCTTTAGACAAATGGGCATTCTCTGCTCTCCTGTCGCTCGAGAATTTATTTCCTCAACACCTAAGACACCTGTTCACGTGGCTGGCACCAAAGCCCAGCTGCGGTGATGACACACGCTTTACACCTTCCTCCTCTCATGCTGTGGTTCTCCATTTATAGGAAAGAAAGCCAGACTTTGGAAAGCAATTTTCGAGACATTCTATTTTTAATTGAGCAAATAGATGTTCTGAAGGCACTGCTCAGAGATGTGAAGGACGGTGCGTACAATCAGAGCTGGAGCGCCCACGGAGACCCTGCCGGGCCTCAGGACGCCACGGAGGCCCTGGATGAGGCAAGCTGCTGGGTGGCATGGTGGGGCAAGGGTGAATTAGTATTTGCTGTCCTGCCACATCCCGCCACTCCTCTGGGTGGAGAATTGAGTGCTAACTGATACTTGGCTTGTGTCCTCCCTCTTCTTTAAGATTATTCCCTGACATTAGCTTTTCAAAAACGCTGTGTCACACAGAAGGCATTCTATTGCATATGCCTTACTTCACCCCAAAATAAATAACTGATTCTGTTTTATTTTCTAGTAAAAAGACAAAAAAATGAAAGGTCACTCAGAAACAGCAGTCTCTGAAGGTCCCTACACAAATACTTAAATAGCAGATTTTCAGTCATCGCCCTCATAGCTGGTGTATTTGGAAAGGTCAGCACCAGATTTTGGCAAAATTATGATGAAAACCAATGAGCTTGGTTTTGCTTCTTTCTCTTCTGCTGCTACCAGCACTACCTTCTATTCCTTCCTTGATGTCTACTTTTTGAAATGCACAGATACCCGACACTGACCACTTGCTGCCTTCCCGGCCCCATTTCATCTTTAGTGAGAACTCGAACTGTTATCTCTGCCCAGAATATTGGCTTTTTTTTTGAATGAGAGTATCCTTCAGAACCCAATATTGATTCAAGTGGATGAAAAATTTCTGATATAAGCAATCATGCAGTTTGTATACACTGCCTTAATTTCCAAATAGCTCTAGTCTTTATTGCTAAGCGTAGGATACGAATGCAAAAGAGAGCACAATTGTTCACATGGTGAGACCTCATCTTGCACTTTACCAGGAGAGAACTGTGTACCGTGTTTAGGGCTTCCCGAGGGGCCCCAGGGTCACCATGCTGTGTGACCTTGTGGGAGTCCCTGAGTACACCTTTGCTTTAGTCACCTCACATGCCTGCGAAGGACTGCCCCCACAGAGCTGTGAAGACGACACTGCGAGTCCATGTGATGTGCCTGCTTCAGAATGCTGCTGCTAGGTGTTCGCTGTCATCATTATTTTGCAGATTAAGGAATTTACGTCCAAATCAGTAAAGCGAATGGTTAAAACCCAAGTATTTGGCAAAGATTGTTAACAGAAAACTGTTTTTAAAATTTGTACAGGAAATGACAAACTTGGTCAATTACGTGCTTAAGAAGTTGAGAGAGGACCAAGTCCAGATGGCTGATTATGCCCTGAAGTCGGCTGGTGAGTATAGAAAAAGTGAAAAGACAAGCATTAAAAAAAAGAATGTGTTAAATATGTCTCTCTTCTCTAAATTTCTCTATAAGGAAAACATATTTATCTATCTGGTAACTTGAGAGGGGATAAAAAATTAATAAATTCAGATAATAAAGAAGAAACTAAAAATGGTTGTCATTGATTGCTTTCTGAATGCAAATCTTAGAGAGACACAACCTGTACGACTTCATCAGTGTGTGTCCAGGAGAACCACCAGCAAAGCTGGGATGCCACAGTGAAGTTGAGGAATGCAGAAAATGTTATAATATTTTATATTATTGTGTATTTAAATGACTTGTAACGGCTAATCTTAATGCATTGCTAGTGATTAAATGACAGGGTTTAAAAGTTGTATGTAAAGTAATGTTCTTAATATCTTCTAATTAAAATTACTTCTTAAGGGCTTAGGCGGTGAATCGTTAACTTTGGTCTTCCCTATCACGCCCCGCCTGTACTACTCTATGAACAAGACGTGCTCAGTGAGCAATGTGGAAGGAAAGAAGGGAGGGGTGAGAGGGAGAGAAGGAGGAAGAAAATATAAAACACACAGTAACACTAATTTTAATCAATTGGCAGTCAAACTTATGCTGAGGAAATAAATTTCTGTTTTGCATGCACTGGAGAGCATTTGGAAGAGAAGGATGACAAAGTCACGTGAGTGTGTGTTTTTCAAGAGAGTGAGCTAGGACAGAACTTTCCTGAACCTGGTTCCCTGAAGCATGGGGAACATGAGCATTAGGATAAGATGGAGGAAGAAATAGTTTTTTTCCTCCCAGTTTTGGCATTCTGATACACTTGTTTAATGCTTTACTCCCTCCTTTCTGTTGAATGTATTGGCAAATTCCATTTTGAAAAACACGTGCTGACTAAGGTAAGTCCACGAGTATCCCATGTAGAATAAGGAAAAGCAGAAAAGGTTATGGCTTCTCAATAACTTTCAGCGTGAAAACACAATGGCAGCTCTGGTTTGGCCAAGATGGAAAAGGCCCATTTTAATCTCTCTCTCCAGCGAATTACAATGGAAAAATCTGGAAAAAATTCAAGAGCAGCTACCTTAGTGTGATGAAAAGTAGACAAAAGCAGCCAGATGGTACAAGGGAACCAAAACTGCAGGAGTGACTGTGTGGGAGCGAGTTTTCTTTTTTCTTTTCTTTTTTTCTCGAAGCTTAGGCTGAGGCAGGCTGTAATTACAGAGTTGCAAAACAGCAGAGCTAAAATTGTGGGAGAAACCCCATTTTTCTATCCCAAGAACCAGAATAAAGTAGTCCTGTGGGCCAGAGAGTATGGGGAGAAGGCCTGGGAAGACAAGCTGGAGAGAAGACACCTGCTGTCATGTCTGTCTGCAGCCAGTTTCTGGGCTCACCTCTCCGCTGCTCATTCAAGGGCACAGAACTGAAACAGCATGGCAGAGGCTTTGAGAATTTGACGAGGATTTAAACCTTGGCCCAAGTCTCGTATCAAGCCCTGAGTGGCACGTGTGCAAGACAGGCCTATAGCAAAGGTTCGGAAACTGAACTGAGATGGGAACCACCACCCAAAGAAAAGACGGGAGCGCTTGTGCCCTGAACATCTCTGGGCTGATGGCTGAAACAAATGAAAACATTACCTGGTAGTTTGTTATAGGACTCAGAGACTCACAATATGATATTCAATATGTCTGGAGTAGAATTCACAATTACTCAGCATGCAAAGACCTAGGGAAATGAGACTAATTTCCAAGAGAAAAGACAAGCAACAGATGCCAGCCCATCATGACACAGATGTTAGAATTATCACACAAAGACTTGAAACAACTGGTATAACACACTTCATAAGGAGAAGGTAAGTACACTTGAAATGAATGAAAAGATACAAGTTCTCAGCCAAGAAATCGAAACTATAAAATGAACTCGATGGAAATTTTAGAAGTGAAAAATACAATATCTGTTAATAAAATTAAAATTCTATTTAACAATAGAAAAACAAGGACAGAGAAAAGAAGTGGTGAAATTGAAGATAGATCAATAGAAATTATCCAATTCAAAGAATGCAAAAAATTTTAAGAAATAAATATGAACAGAGCTTCAGAAACCTATGGGACAATATAAAAAGAAGTAATATTCTTATCCTTGTAATCTGAGAGGGAGATAAGGAAGGGATCAATGTAGAAAAATAATTTGAAGAAGTAATGTCTTGAAAACATCTCAAATTTGATTTTAAAATACATAAATTTACAGATTCAAGAAACAGCAAATCAGAAACAAGATAAATTGATGGAAAACTACATCCAGACACATCCTAATTAAATTGCTTAAAATCAAAGATAAAGAAAAAATCTTGAAAGCAGCTAAAGAAAAAAAAAAAACCCACACGTTATCTATAGGAGAACAATTATTCAAATGACTGTGGATTTCTTATCAGAAACAAAGGAGACCAAAGTGAAGGAAACTACATCTTTAAAGTGCTGAAGGAACGCAAATGGCAATGCAGAATTCTAGATCCACTGGAAATATCCTTCGGGAATGAAGGTGAAATGAACACATTCTTAGATGGAGGAAAGCTAAGAGAATTCTCTGCCAACAGATCTGCTAAAGGAAGTTCCTCATCTGAAGAGAAATGATGCCAAGAAGAGACTTGGGACTTCAAGAATAAAGAAAGCAAGAGATAAGATAAATGTGAGCACATAAAAGGTAATTTTCTTAAGTTCTTTAAGATATGTGTGGCTGTTGAAAGAAAACATCATAACATTATGGGGGGATTGATACATGTAGATCTAATACTATGACACCCTTAGAGGAAAAGTCAGTGGGTGAGGCTTCAGGGACATCTATGATTATGAAGATTGTGTACAAGTGGTAAAATACTAATACCAAATAAACCACGAGAGGTTAGGTATGTGCATTGTTATCACCAGAACAATTACTGTAAAAAAAAAAATATGGAGATATCCAAAAGCCAACGGATAAATTAAAGTTCAATAAAATATTTTAACTAATCTAAAAGGAGGCAAAAAAGGGAGATGAAGAAGAACTAGGAGATAAAAAGAAACAATAATAATAAAATGCTAGACTTAAATCCAATGATGTCAATAAGCATACTAAATGTACATGGTGTAGACATATAAATTAAAACAGATTGTCAGACTGGATAAAAAGCAAGACTCGAATATATACTGTCTACAAGAAATCCTCTTTAATTATACTGAAGGTAAAAGGATAGAAAAAGATGTAGCATGTAAACAATGATTTTTTACCAAGTAAATTACCTATATTAATGTCAGACTGAGTAAATTAAACCTAAGGACACAAAATATCATTATATTACAATATAATATTATATTATCATATAACGATAAAAAGGGTACTTCACCAAGAAGACATAGTAATCCTTAATGTGATTGCATCAAAATAGATGAACAAAACATGATAGAACTAAAAGAAAAAATACACAAATTCACAATTTTAATTAGAGATCTCAACACTCTTCTCTAATTAATTGAAAATGAAGATAGAAAATTGGCCAGAATGTAAAAAAAAAATCTAAACGACACTATCTAAAACTTTATCTAATTGATATTTATGGTACATTCCACCAAACAACATCAAAATATACCTTCTTTGTTAGTGTGCATATATCATTCAAAAAGACATGTCATATTCTGGGCAATGAAATACACCTTAATAAATTTAAAATAATTGAAATCATATAGAGTATGTTCTCTGAATATAATGAAAATATAAACTAGAAATCTGTAACAGAAAGATATCTAAAAGATCCCCAAATATTCGGAAATTAAACAATACATTTCTAAATTACCCTGAGTCAAAGAGAAAGTTACAATAAAAATTAGAAGATATTTTGAACTAAATGGAAATTAAAAGGTAAAATATCAAAATTTATGGGTTGCAGCTAAAGTAATGCTTAGAGCAAAATTTATAGCAACAGATGCTTACATTTGAAAATAAGAAAGGTCTCAAATCAGTGATCTAAATTTCTACCTTAGCACACTAGACACTAAAGCAATGAAAAGGAAGTACATAATAAAGAACAGAATCAATAAAATTTAAATAGAGAAAAACAATGAAACTAAAATCTAGTTCTTTGAAAAAAAGTTGATAGAATTCTAGCCAGACCAACCAAGCAGTGGGGTGTGGGGATGGGGAGAGAAGCCACAAATTAGCAATATCAGGAATGAAAGGACATTTCTATAGATCCTACAGAATTAAAAAGATAATAAATGAATATGAAAACTTCAAACCCCCAAATTTTGCAATTTAGGTAAAGTATACAAATTTCCTGAAATATGCAAACTACCAAAGAAAAGTTGGTAGTTTGGTAGTTGGTAGTTTTCTCAAGAAAAAGTAGATAACTTATATTTATTAAATAAATTAAATGTATGGTTAAAACCCTTCTACAAAAGAATGCTCCAAGCTCAGTTGACTTTATTGGTGATGTCCACCAAAAATTTAAGAAAGAAAAAATACTACTGCACAAATACTAATACAAAGTAGGAGAGGAGGAAGAACTTTTCAGCTTATTTTATGAGGCCATCATTACCTGGTACCAAAACTAGACAAAGACATTCCAAAAAACCAGAACTATATAGACCAATACACCTCAAGGACAGTGGGCTTTGCTTCATCTATTTTGAAGCTCTTTTAGATGCAATCACATTTAGGATTATTATGTGTTTTGGGGAAATTGTCCTTTTTATCATTATGTATTATCCCTCAACAAAATATTAGCAAATACCATTCGATAATATGTAAGAATGATAATACAACATGACTAAGTGGTGTTTATCCTAGAAATGCAATGCTGGTTTATCATTGGAAAATAAGTCAATGAAATTTATGATGTCAACATACTAAAAAATCTGATCATTAGGTCATCAAATTAGACTCACTAAAATTATTTAGCAAAATTCAATATTTATTATAAAAATTAACAAAATTCAGCATTTATTATAAAAACCCAGCAAACTAAAAAAAGAATTATTTCCTCAGTCTGATAAAGGACACCTGCAAAATTCCTGAGGCTAACATCAGACTTATTTGTGAAAGACTAATTGTTTTCTTCCTAAGATAAGAGACAAAGTAAAGATATCTACTCTCACCATTCCTTTTCAACATTGTAATAGAAGTCCTAACCAATAAGATAAGATAAGAAACAAAGAGGAGATAAAGAAAAAGAAAGGGGGAGAGAGAGAGAGGAAAGAGACATGCAAATTGGAAAAGAAGAAATAAAAATGTCTCGAAAATTCACAGACAATATGATTGCTTACATAGAAAAATTAAAAAATCTACTAGAATAAGTAAAATTTACAAGTTCAAGTGTATTCGTACAATTTCTACATGCTAGTAATAAAAATTAGAAAGGGAAAATTTTAAAAAAAAGCAGTACTATTCACAATAGCATTAAAAAACATGAAACACGTAGGCATAAGTCTAGTAAAATATGTGTGGGATCTGTGTGCTAAAAACTAAAAAACAATAATGAAAGAAATAAAGAAGACCTAAATAAATGGACAAGTATACCATGTTCATGGATTAGAAGACTCAATATTGTTAAGATGGCAATACACTCCAACTTGTCTATGGATTCAACAAATCGTTATGAAAATCCCAGTAGGATTGTTTGTAGAAATCAACAAGCTATTTCTAAAATGTATATGGAATGACAAAGGAATTAGAATAGCCAAATCAGTTTTGGAAAAAGGAAAAGGACAAAGTTGGATAACTCATACCTTCTTATTTAAACTTTACTATAAAGTTACAGTAATCAAGAGAGAGTGGTATTAGTGAAATCCAATGGAGCAACACAGAGTCCAGAAATAGTCCACATATATGTGGTGAATTGATTTTTGACAAAGGAGGAAAGGCAAGTCAGTGGTGCTGAAACAAGTGGACATTCATATGCAAAAATAAACCTTGGCCTAAAACTCACACTTTATAAAAATTAACCCCAAATGTGTCACAGGCCTAAATATAAAGTTTAGAGCCATAAAACTTTTAGAAGAAAAATAAGAGAAAATCTTTCCAACCTTGAGTTAGAAAAAGATTTCTTAAATATGCCACCAAAAACTGTGATCTTTAACACAAAAGAATGGATAATTTGGCCTTCACCAAAATTAACTTCTGCTCTTCAAAAGGCAATTTAGAGAATAGACAAGTCACAGGCTGGGAGAGAATATTTGCAAACCATATATACACATTCTTGTATCCAGAATTTATAAAAACTCTCAAGCCTCAATACTAAGCAGACAACCAAATAAAAAATAGACAAAAGATTTGGAAGACACTGTATTAAAGAAGATATATGAATGTCAAAAACACCACATGAAAATAAGCTCCACATTATTATTTCTTAGTGAAATGTAAATTAAAACCACATGATATACCACCGCACACCTATTAGAATGGCAAACAAACCAAAACTGATCATACCAAGTCCTTGCAAATGCAAAACAACTGTCACTTTCATACACTGCTGGTGAGAACGTAACATGGTGCAGCTATTTTGGAAAATAGTTTGACAGTTTCTTATGAAGTTAAATATAACACCTTATGACCCAGCAATCCCACCTCTGGGTACTTACCTAAGATAAATTAAAACTCATAAGAGAATGTCTATCACAGTGTATTCATAATCACCAAAATTGAGAATAACCCAAATGTCCATCGACAAATGACTGATGTATCCATACAATGGAATACTTCTCAGCAGGCAATACAAAGGAACGAACTAGTAATTCTCATTACAACACCCATGAATCCCACATGCAATGGGCTAAGTGAAAGCAGCCATATTCAAAAGGCTACATACTGTGATTGACTACAAAGGGGCAGCAAAAGGAATGTCTGTAATAGGTAAATCTATAGAGACTATAGATTTGATAGATTAGTGATTGTCTAGCAATAGGGCAGAAGGTTGGGGGGAAATGAGGAGTGACTGCTAATTGCTATGGATTTCTTTTTGGGCCAATTTAATGTTAAAACATTGAATGTGGTGGCTGAAGAACTCTGAGAATGTGCTACAAAACACTGAATTCAAAATGGATGAACTGTATTATGTGAATTGTGTCTTAATAAAGCTGATAAAAATAAAAAACAAATTAATGAAAAAAGGGAATAAATATGAATTATTAAAACTCCCCACAATACCACAGTTTAAATTTTTTCTTGAAAGGGTTATGTGTGTGTAAGGAGGGGTTTCAGTGCTCACATCAGCCCATGAAAGTGTAGTTCCAGTCCAGTCAGTCAGGTGAGTAGGAATATTGATCAGGCAGTCAGTATCAGGCTTCAAAAACAAGGTACACATAGGGTGCAGATAAAATAAAGGATGCCTGTTAAATTTGAATTTCGGACAAGGAGCAAATAATTTTTTATTATAACTATGTCCCAAATACTGTATGGGACATGACTACTAAAAAATTCTTCTTTGTTTATTCAAATTCAAATTTAAATGGCAGCCTTGTATTTTTACTTGCTAAATCTGGTAACTCTAGGTACACATTTACTATTTTAAGTTGCACCATCTTAGAAAAAATACTGGCAATCAGACATTTGGTCAGGCATATGTATTTTTAATGTTATATTGTGTTATTCAAATTCAAATTTAAATGGCAGCCTTGTATTTTTATTTGCTAAATCTGGTAACTCTAGGTACACATTTACTATTTTAAGTTGCACCATCTTAGAAAAAATACTGGCAATCAGACATTTGGTCAGGCATATGTATTTTTAATGTTATATTGTGTTACCCAAATGAAAATTTGAGGAAGTGATTTGCATTTTCTTTATTTCTTATGTATAAAATACATTTTGCTTCTAAAAGTAACCTGAAGAGATAATATTTGATGGATATATTTTATATTTCTTTGATTAAAATGAAAATTCAATGAATCTGCATAATTACTATTCCGAATATAACTTGAAGGACATTTATGACATTGTTGGTTGTCTGGGGTTTTTTTGTTTTTGAGTGAATATGACTGATAGAAAGTCTTAGTTATCAGATGAGCTGTTAAAATATGAAGGTCCATGTATCTTTTTAGGCAATAAACAGAATCCATGCAATATTTCTATCTCTAATTTAATTGCCCCCAAAATAAACTTTTTGTCTTAATATCAGTTTCAGAAATGTCATGAAACTACACAGAGTAAACATGGCTTTCTCAAAGTGACAACATTTCAGTGGTGATCAAACTGTCATACTTTTCCTACCAATTCCTGAGTATGAATTTTACCTCATTTATAATTTGCCAAGTAATGGTTTTCCAAAGACATTATTAAAATCCAAGTAATATGTTTTGAATTGTATATGTAATTATTTATTTAAAAATCATTTTATAATTTTAGGAGCCTCCATCATTGAAGCTGGGACTTCAGAAAGTTATAAAAATCATAAGGCAAAACTGTACTGGCATGGGATAGGTTTCCTAAATTATGAAATGCCTCCAGATATTATTCTTCAGGTAAACCTAAATTAAGAATAACCCATTTCTATTTTAGGATTTTGTTCTTTCTTATTATTTATCTGAAAATATTAACTTTAAAATGGAAGCACTGTAAGAGTCTCTAAACTTGTTACAGAACATGAAATCATCTCCTTACAATTTTTATAGTCAGTACACTGTATGAATTATGTCTTAATTTATAGTCAGTACACTATATTTATTTATGTATTTATTATTTTAAGGTCAGGATTATTTGCTTCTAAAATAGAACAAATATTCCATATGTTTCCCGTAAGTTGATTCTGTGGCCTCCCTTTTCCACTGAAAACTTTAGTCTTTCGACAAATTTTGGTTGAAAATGCTTGTTCCCTAAGTACCAGTACTATGTTAAGTGCTATTCAGACCACATATTCTTATTAAAATTGTAACAGAAGAAATTTCCAAATAAAATTCCCACTGAAACTTTCACTTCAATTCTAAAGGCAGTAGACATCAACAGATAGTAGAGCACCTCTTAGCTATGATCCACATACCTAAAGTTCGTTTCGAATTTAGAAATAGTTTCAGTGCTCTCAAACTGAGTGGGTTGACAGTCACACTGCCCAAGGGCATGGGGGGAATTGCACTCAATCTTGGGCTCAGCTGACAAATGCTGCAGCCAGAGGATGAGGGAAGCTCTCAAGCGCAGCAGGCTAACAATAGCCACTGCCCACAGGTGTGGAGGGGGATACTCTCAAGCCACAAGGACTGACAAACTCCAGGTCAATCCTCCAGAGTAGGACACAAGTGTGAATACGCCATCCAGGGACCTCACCTTCTTTGCATGAAGTAGGAGAGTTCCCAGCAGAGGAGAACAGGTCCTCTGCAAGCTTACCTGTCTTGATCTGAGAGAAGAGATTTCAGATAAGAAGGAACCAGAATGTGAATTCTGGCAACATGAACAGACAAGCTATTTTGACACCCCCAAAGGATCACAGCTGATCTCCAGCAATGGACTCCAACCTAAAGGAAATTGTCCAAATATTAGAGATGGAATTCAGAATATGAATGGCAAAGAAGATGAATGAGATTGAAGAAAATTTGAAAACCAACATGAAGAAGCCAAAAACAATATTTGAGGACATGAGTTAAAAAAAATGAAAAACTCAATAAAGAGATATACAACATAAGAAAAAATATAACAGACTTAAAGACATGAAAGTCATTTAAGGAATTCCAGTATGTAGCAGAAAGCTTCAATAACAGGCTAGTCCACGCACAAGAAAGAATTTCAGAGCTTGAAGACAAGGCTTTGGAACTAACCCAGTCAGTCAAAGATGAAAAAAAAAAAAGAGTAAAGAAGAATGAACAATCACTCAGAGAAGTATGGGACTATGCAAAGTGCGCCAATATAAGAATTATAGGTATCCCTGAGGGAGAAGAAGAAAAAGCAAAAAACATGGAAGACCTATTCAAGGGAATTATTGAGGAAAACTTCCCTGGTATTCCCAGAGATTCAGATATTCAGATACAAGATGGTCTTTAAACGGCAGGAAGATTCACAGAAAATAGGTCATCTCTAAGACACATAGTCATCAACATGGTCAAAGTCAAAATGAAAGAGAAAATTCTATAACCAGAAAGTTGAAAGCAATAACTAGCCATCAAGGAAAACCCATCAGGCTAATAGCAGATTTCTCAGAAGAGATCTTAACAAGCCAGAAGGGATTGGGGCCCCATTTTTAAACTTCTTAAACAGAACAACTGCCAGCCAAGAATTTTGTATCCTGCAAAAGTAAGTTTCATAAATAATGGGGAAATAAAGCCTTTTCCAGACAAGCAAACACTAAGGGAATTGGTCACTACTAGACCTGCCCTACGTGAAATACACAAAACTGCACTATACATGGAATAGCACAATAGATACCTGCCAGTGTAAAAATACCTGAAAGTTAAAGCTCACAGCTGTAATAAAACAATAACACAAGAGGGAAAACAAAACAATAAGGTATCATCCAACATGATGAACAGAACAGTATCCCACACATCACTATTAACACTGAACATGAATGGTCTGAATGCCCCACTTAAAAGACAGGGACTGACTGAATGGATGAAAAACACACCCCAAGTATGTGCTGTCTCCAATAAATGCATCTAACTCACAAGGACTTATGCAAACTCAAGGTAAAGGGCTGGAAAAATATTACATGCAAATGGAAACCAAAAGTGAGCAGGTGTAGCCATTTTCATATCAGATAAAATAGACTTTAAATCAACAGTGGTAAAAAAAAAGACAAAGATGGTCATTATATAAGAGATTAATTCAGTGCTTTCTTTCCAGCCGGATGTCTACCCTGGAAAGTGCTGGGCCTTCCCAGGTTCTCAGGGTCATACCCTAATCAAGCTTGCCAGGAAGATTATACCAACTGCTGTTACCATGGAGCACATCTCAGAAAAGGTGTCTCCCTCAGGAAACATCTCCAGCGCACCCAAGGAATTTTCTGTCTACGTAAGCTGTCTAAATCTGTTATTCAAATTGGCCTGTGATAGAAGGTGGTTGGCTAGGAATTAGGAGCTGAACTTTCCATCTTAACCATGTAGCTAACTAGTTGTGTCACTTATTTCTGCTTTCTCATCTACAAAGAGAGAGAGTCAGAACAGATAATTTCTATTACTTAATTTTATTTTTTACTTTTATCAAAGTCATACATGTACAATTAAAATATCAAATATTTCCATAGAGTTTGCAACGAAACAGTGGTTCCTTGTCCCACTTCTCCCCACCCCCAATTCTCATTACCCTAAAGCTTGCACTTGCAACAATTTTAGCTGCTTATTTGTATACTTGCCCCCATATTTGCTTTTACTGTTAGTTCTTGATTTTTCAGTTTTGGTTGATTGATCTGCAGACATCCTCCAGTGGAAAGTGAAGGTTAGCTTTCTTCCGCAGTTCTTGTGTCTAGCATCTCTGTCTTTCTTGTGAGGTGCTCGTTTCCAACGTCTGTGAGGCTTCTCTGTCACATGAAGAGCTCAGCGGTACACAGCTGGCCCAAAGCTTTGTGCACACGGTGGGGCTGGTTCACCCAGAGTTTCTCGGGGGGGATGATCTGGTTGGGCTATTTCTTCTAGAGTCCCCAAAGTGTGGTGTCAGGCGAGTTGACCCTGAGAGGATTGCCATCTTGTGCGTGACTGTACGCTGGGAGATGCAGGGCGGAGGGCCACGGGCTGTCACTCGACTTGGAGCACAGGGCAGGACTCATGCCTCGTCTGTGTTCCGTACTAAGGCTATGCCGTCAGCCACCTCAGAGCTGGGAGGAAGAAGAGAGCATTCTGCTGGGTGTGCCAGGGTAGGGGCAATAACCTACCATGGACTGGGGGACTAGCTGCTTTTTGAAATGATTGTCAGGCAAGCCTCAGATTTGGGCCCTCCTCTCCCCTCGCACCCCATGGCCCCAATCCCCAGGCCTTTCCAGAGCCCTACAACATAATTCAGTGAGCTCCTGGTTCCACACTACCCTATAGCCAGGGTACTTTGTGTTTTCACCAGTTTGGACATCTCCAAGTTTTTTGTGTTAGTGTCTACTCACGTTTTTCCCTCGTAGGTTTATGCCTTAGTTCAATCCTTTGAAGTTACTGTGGGGAGGAGGGCCCAGTGCTAAGCAGCCTGCCTTATGTCATCCAAATGCCTCTGCAGCCTGTGACTGGCTCTACAAATCAGAGGGCCACTGCCCTTTGATGCGAGCCTGCGCCACCCACAAGAGGTGTCTCTGGAAGTTGAGTTACGTTGAATTTGAACAGATAAGCCCCATCTCAGAAAGGGGCACACAGTTGCTCATTATTTAGAGGAATTATGGGTGAATCCTGCAGGAATCCTTTAGTAATAAAACGTACTTCTCATCATTTTCTTCCATGTTAGAGAATTTATGAACCAAGTGAAATTAAAACAAGGCAATAAATAGCCAGGTGCACTGGCTGCTCCTGTAATCCTAGCTACTTGGGAGGCCAAGGTGGGAGGATCATTTGAGCCCAGGAGTTTGAGGCCAGCTTGGGCAACATAGTAAAACTTTGTCTTTTAAAAAAGAAACAAACAAAAAAGAACAGGTGATAAAAAAGGTGGAAATAAAAGTATGCTTCTCTCTTAGGCCTCAGGAACTACATGAGGCTTGAGTCACACACATATATATATGTAATTGTGAGTACATCATGTAATCATGTGTCCAATTCTTTTAATAAAAATTATAGTTTAATTTTAATATTTTCATTACAAAATGATTGTACTAATGAACTCTTTGTTTTGCTGTATTACCATAATTTAAGGAACCTAACAATAAACTTTAGATTCACGAAACAAATTAGTTTGCACCAGTGAATTCTCCTCTCACAAATCTTCAATCTGAGGGGTAGAGAAGGAGAGAGAAACGCATGAGGGAAATTGTATACAAATACCAAGGCTTTTGTCAGTTGACAAAAATTACTTTTTGGAGGAAATTATTTGTGTGATCAAAGTCTGGCAATTGGCTTAAGTTTATTCCATTTTGGAAAACAGCCGTTAACATGGGGACTCATTTTTGTTTACTTTATTCAAAGTCTGCCAACTGCAAATACAGTTATCAGGCCAAAGTTAATGCTGTGATTTGCTCTGTCTCTACCTATCTATTAATATCTATGTTTCATCTATTTATTTATCACCTATCTTTCATCTATCTTCTATCTGTCTACCTGTCTATCCTCTATCTATCTAGTCAGTTCTGTGATCAGCCTCTGGCCTCATTGACTCCCGAGTCAAGTGCCCTCTGGGTGTATAGGTCAGTACTGGCGCGAGCTCAGCATGGTGCCCCTGGTGGACACACAAAGATGCCTGGTGAATTGTTGGTACTTGAACATTCAACTGTATCCATTTGTTGCAATCTCTATGTCTATTGCTTTCTTTTTAGGGCATCATGAAAAAGTGTGAAGGCGAAGAAACTTTCCTAGGTCAATTTATGTATAACAAAACAGGAACCACTGTTCAAACATTTAAACTCAAGGTAATGACAGCCCTGGGAAATGGCAAGATATGAGTGGCTCCATCACTGGGAGAGATTTGTTGGGATCGCTTCATGCAAAGTGGTGTGTGAGTAATTATGGCAAAAGCGTGAGTAAACAAGGCTTATCTGAATTTCAGGTCTTAGCTCCAAGTGTTCACATGGATTTTATTGCAAAAGATGGGCAAATACAAAAGGAGTTTCTAAATCAAATTCTTCCTGATTTGCTATGAGGAAGAATGTGCATTCAGTTTCTCAGTTCTATTAACTACCTCATTCCCTGGATACTATTAAGTTTTATAGTCACTATCTCATCTTGCTTGGGTAAAGGAGATGGGGATAGTGGAGCAATATGAGGTGGATAGAGGCAGAGAAGAACTTAGAGGAAGAGAGACTATTTAATACCAGATGATGTAAGTAAAACTTCTCTTCCTAACCCAATGAGGAAAAATACCAACTGTTAATTTATAAACCCCTTGAAACTCACTAGGATATATGAAATGTATTCCCATTATTCCTCATTAGCCACAGGAAGTAATTGAAGAGATGTAGAAGGTATCTCACACGATGTAAAAACAAGTGTTTATGACACTTCTTCGCCAAACAGTGAGAAAATACAAGTCAAAAACAATATATGTATTAGAAATGAATGTCATTGTAGAGTGTCATATTTGATTATATATTCATATGTAGGTGTATTTGGGCTCATGTATCTGTTTGTATAGTTGGCTTCGTAGATCTGGTTTTCAGACAAGCCCCCCACCCCAGCTCAACCAGCAAGGAGCACAGAGGAGAGAGACCATGGCGAGGAGAGGTCACTTGGCCACCACATTCTCTTCCTCCCCCTCTACTTGTCCTTCCATAAGCTCTTTACCCCAGAAGCTTATTTTCTCATCCATTAGATG